AATTCTTGTCATTGTCTCATTAATTACTGCTTTGAGTGTTGTTATGCTGCTACTAGTTGCATATATTATTAGATCATCAGCAAACAATAGAGCAGATATTTCGGGTATTCCCTCGAGCACAGCCACTAAGTCATCGATCATTATATTAAAGAGTGTGGGGCTCAAAACAGATCCTTGGGAAGTCCATGGCTAAAAGGTTTGAAGCTTGAAAACCAGCCATTGTATCTTACTTGAAGAAATCTGTGGGCCAAGAATGACCGTATGGCCCTGTTAATTTTTCCACTAATATTCATTTTGAGGAGCTTTTTCAGAAGAACTTTCCGGCAGAATTTGTCGAAAGCAGCTTTAAAATCAACATATACTAAAAGTGTATGTTGTTGCCGTTGAAACCCATCTTTTACATCCTCACTAAAAAGAGTCATCTGCTCAGTTATACATCGGTGCCTTCGAAAATCTGCTTGCTTTGACATCTTATTTTCCATATCTAAATATATCTGCAGCAGGGCTAAGATCATTCTCTTATAGAGTTTAGAAAAAACACTTGTAAGTGAGCTAGATCGGTAGTTAGATGGACAGAGGAACATTTTCTTTCTTGAGAATTGAGATCACCTCAGCCTTCCTCTAAGCACAAGAATATCGTGACCTCCACACAGCATTGAGAAAATCCATCAGTATGAGCTTAGCTTTCGCATACAGGTGTATAAGGAACTCTGGCAATATGTCATCAGGACCACCGCTTTTTCCCTTCTTTGTTTGTGCCAGAGCAAGCTCAAGCTCTTCCTTTCTAAAGTCGTCTTCAAAGAGTTGGCTTTCAGAAAGGTTCAAACATAAGATTGGTGGTGCGGTATTAATTCTCTTATTTTCTTCTACTGGTTTATAGTTAGAGGCCCTGGCAAAGAATTTACAAAAGATCCTTGCTATGGCAAGTACAGAAAACATCTCCTTGTTATTAAACTTGAGAGGGTACATTATAAATGTAAACAAAATATAAAATTTCATTATAAGAAATATAAATGCTAAAGATAATATAATATTTGCACTGCAATTCATTGGTCAATGTTTCATAAATTGCAGAAAATGATTTTAATATGATAATCCAAAACAATGGATTAAGATACGGGCATAGTGATTAGATAGATTGAATACAAAATAATGAAATTTAAAATTTTTTCATTCTTATGAAAAATCTTGATTGGAAAATATTGTTTAAATGCTTTGGCATATGGAATTATGGCTATGCTATGATAATAATGACTATTTTCAAAGAAACGCGATTATATTCCTAACCAATTAGTTATTAGGTATTTTATTTTTTATTTCTTTAAATCGCTGAACAGTAGTAATACTGCGGAAAGCAGTTACCACGTACCAAGGTGCGTTAATTGATGACCTTTTTTCAAATCAAAATTGAAAATCAGACAAAAACTAAATATATTCACGTACCTACTCAGATCCATACAGACATATGCTTCATATTTTTACGATTCAGCAAAAAAGTAAAAAACATACGAAAAGTAAAATCATTACAATCCAAATTGTTAGATTAATAACAGCAGCTCCTTGGCATGTAAACAGCGATAACATACCAACTTTAGACAACCAGATATCGACCTACGCATAAGTGCTCTTTACTTCCGATTTTATATTAAACTATGTGGACACAATAATTGAGTTATTAAGGACATGACCGCAATTGACATGCTCATCAGAGGAGACTGAAAAGGATTGGTTGAGATCTCTTCTCCTGGGCGAAGGCAGCAAATGAAGATCAAGAAGAGATGCAACCTGGTACTGTTCTCCCTCATGCCTAATCTGATATGACATTTTACAAATTCACTATAGCACATCTGCTTTTTATCAAATTCATGATAGTTATGGATTGATATTTTAAGAGAGAAAAAATATATTAGTTATTTTAGTTAAGAATTAACAAAAATATTAGTTTCATAACAAGTATCATTAGAGTACATCCAATTAGAAGGGTTAGGGGCTAAGCCTTCAAACCCGCACATCAGTAATGATATCCTGGCTACTTCAAGGCGCGACCCAGTCCACGCTGCTTGGTATTGCTCAACAATTGTTTCTATGACGTTATTTATTATGTTATCTTATTGTGTTATAGTATTATAATATATTATTAATCCATAAAATTCATGCGTGAAGTGGGAGGGTATAATAGACCTTATACGTAATCGATATCTTTGAAAATAAAATAAATGACATAATTTACCATCTTTACAACATACTATCTAGCGTTAGGTCCTGAGTCAGTATGACACGTCCTCGCCACTTTTTACTTCTTCTTACATTCCTCTTATATGCAAGAAATAGTAAGGTAAAGTATTAGAATCGTGAAAAATTTCGAATTCGTGTTTTCCACGGAAATACAAGTTTTAAGGTCCTTTGACTCCAAACATCAAAATCTAGTTGATGGTTTGTGAATATGTAAACAGTTTACAGATCGCTTTGATAGTTTCTAACTGTAGATTACAGGCGGATCTACGGGGGGAGGGGAGAGGGCTTCAAGCTGAAGTTAGTTTCTTTATTTTTTTTCCAAAGCAATTATCGATAGATATATATATATATATATATATATATATATATATATATATATATATATATATATATGGGAAAAAAAGCTCTCGGGCTGAAGTCCACTTACAAAAAAAATTAAATCTTGGATCCGCTAGTGCTGTGGATCGTACTTAGTCAAACGTTCTTTCATATAATGTAATATAATACTGATTAAACAATTTATGTAGCTTTAAAAATAAAATGAGAATTACACCATGTTTTAAGTTCGGTACAGCTTTCTTACGCCTGTAATGTCAAATAAACAGTTAACACATTTGTTTATCATCGCAACCACGACAGGTGCGAATGAAAGCATGAAGAGAAAAAAAAATTCGAAAGTATGTTTTCTCATTATAGGACATGAATATGAGCATAATGAATTTTCGTAACATCGCAAAAATATATTTGTATATTTATTAAGATTGAACATTAAGGGAGAGAAAGGGGGAGAGAGAGCTTCTGTAAAAACTCCTGATGGTATTTCCTCGAGAGAAACAGAACCAACAACTGTTCTTACAATAAGTGCCTAAACGCTTAGTGTTCCAGGTGTTTCCCTTTAATCCGTAACCGTTATTGCTCCTGTAACTGTTTTAAGAGATATCGTTAAGTAACTTTCTCAGAAAACAGTACCGCACAAATACTGAACTTACTTTTTCACAATTGGTCAACGAATTTATTTTTTCTCTATTGTTTTTCTTTAATTTTATTCTGAAACAAAATGTTTAAGCCATGCGTATTCTACATATTAATGCATATATTTAAAAAAATCCTTTAAATGAGGTAATTATATATATATATATATATATATATATTCAATCATTTCTTATCCATCCAGTCCCCATGAAATTGTAAATAGTACTGCAAATATGTATATAAATTATCCTTACTTTATGTTTATTTTCAATTTTTCATTTTTTTTTTTATTACTAACTGATCTAAATTAGAAGCTTATAATCTTATAATTTAAGCTATCACTTATTCTATATTTTTGTTTATGTATCTCTGAGGCTTCTTAGCCCATATTTTTGTCTTTCTGTATTATTCTAAAGGGACTCGTCCCAGTATAAATAAAGCATTATTATTATTATTATTATTATTATATATATATTTATTTATTTATTTGACGCGGAACAGCCCTGAAGGACTACGTGACTATGATACTGGTTTCTTTATCAATTTCTTCCTTTCTGCCCATCTCTGCTTGAAGATATCACTAAATTTTTTCTTCCTCTCCTCCGTATGTGATATATACATATGTATGTATGTGTATATTATTGTAGTTTTACAGTTGTTACGATTAGTGTATTTTGAAGAAATTTCTCACAAAAATTTAAGATTTATATATATAAATATATATGCGTTCAGGAAATGTCAACAACTAAGAGAGGAATTATCTAGCTAAGTGTAGTTCAGCGCCACCTACCGCACATATTTTTACTTAATACAAAGCTAAGTAACGAATAATTTTTAACCACTGTTCTAGTGACCAAAAACCCAACAACTTTATTCCAGATCATTTTATTTGATACTTGTTTAGAATTAAGATTTATCTAATAACATTGATTACTTTTACAACAGGAGCGTCTTTTATCTTCATCTTATTATTAAAAGTTACCTCTTGCTTCAAAATATTTTTTTTAGGAGATGGGTAGCGCATTGAATAAGGCATAGTGACCCTATTCCTTTGGCACGGGTTCGATTCCATTTGTGTCAGGTAATTATTTATTCTATATCACCAGTGGACCGAAACTGGTGTCGGGAGACCCTCCAGCAAGGAACACACCCTGCTTCTATAAAGTGGATGCTCATAATTAAATAATATATTAAGGTGGTCAAACCATCTCTTTTACAACCGTTGTATAAGAAATAGTACTTAGTTACAAAGTACCGATTGAAAGACTTTCATGAGTAGTAATGATGCAATTTTTTTTTTTTTTAATATTTATGAAATCTAACTTACGAGCTAATAATGACTGTAACATTGATTACACATTTTGCTTAATGTAGTTTCTTCTCACACTATGGCATTTTCAAAAGATCATTGTAAAATAATTGATATTCCGAGAGTTATGATTTTTTTAGTTAAACTATGACACGAAGGCGATAGTTTCGGTGAAACCAAAATGTCTTATTTTTTTTTTAGATAATTGGAAATTAATATCTTGAAAACTATTAAAGATATTAAAATAAAAGTTTGTATGAATAATGAGAATGACATGACATATTTACACGGACTTTTGAATTTTTCAGAGGGCACATTTTGAAGGGGTTGTGAATTTTTAAGTGGACAAAATTTTTATAGGGTTTAAACTAAGAACTTTAGAACCAGAATAATACAATTTTTATAATTCTACTCTCACTTGCACCCTTTTTAAGTAGCGAATAGCAATAGATTTTCTTTTGAGGAAGAGAAATGGGGACATTGACTTTGGGGGATCCCAAATGTCGAAAATCATCCACCAATAACTGATTTCCGCTGCGAAATTGGTTTTATAATTTGATATTATAAATGTAAGCAACAGATTCCTATTTTACTTTTAAATATATTTTCCTTTTAAACATTAAAAAATATATGTATCGTGAAGAATCCCTTTTTTTTTTACAATAATTTCATTTTTATTTTTCCAGTGTGTCTTGGAGAGGGTATGGCAGTGGCCATTTAACGCATTCACTTTGGACACCGCTACTGGTGGTATGATATTTAATTTTATTTTTTATACCATTTTAGTACTAGCATGTACACTTAAATCGTTAAATTCACACATTATTTTTTCAGCTGCAGTACAAAGATGATGATTAAATTGGAAAAGAACGATACCCTAAAAAATTTAGGGTTGTTAATAATTTGTAACTTTGTCATTTTTCAATCCAAATGCATTTGTGGATTAGGTTGTACTGTACATATATATTTAGTATAGGTATATGTATTTATTAATCAATATAATCTGAAAAATAATTTATTGAATTGCCTACTGTTAGGATTCACGTTAGATTTTGATTATTGCTTCTTCCTCTAACCCCTAAGTGTAGTTGTCGCCTCAGGCCACTTGGCCCACTGGATTCTCTGGATAGACTTCTTATCTCCGGAATGGTGCGTCTTCTGGTCCTGCTTCCAAGTAACATCTGGCCTTTTGGAGATCGACCATTCTGCAGTCTTGCCCATTATTAACTGCCATACTATTTAACTGTCGCTCTTCCAGGATGTCATCCAACAATGGTGTTCACAAATACTCTTGGATCCATCGTTTCTGAAGAAATACCTATAGGTCTTACCCACTAACCATCGGAGAAATCTATCACCTCTCTCTATCTTGCTTACTTGCTTGTAGGGAGTTGTCTAGAGGATCTATACAATTGCACTGGAAGGTAAATAGATTTAAGTAGCTGAAGTGTGGTCTCTCTTCTTGCTTTTGATTGTTTTTGATACATTATCGTATAGCCATTGGGCTTCATCGCCCGATTTAGGAACTCCTAATCTGTTTTACCATTTTTCTTTAATAATGCCATTATATCAGTATATACATTCCCTAATTCTTGGATTCTCCTGGGCTCCATATGGTTTCTTTCAACGTACATGACTTTGCTTTTAGTTGGATTTATCCGTTATCTTCATTGAATATTGAAGATAATTATTTTATTTTTTTGCTTCAGGACGATCGTTACCGGTTCTATGTGTTCACTTATTTCACTGGTACGGGCTCATGGACCACTTCAGTTTAGACGTCGTAAGGATCTGGAAATTTTTTAGTAAGTATCGCAAAAACCAATGAACAAAAGTCCAAACATTTTCATTATACAATTGCTCATTAAACAAATTTGCAGTTACAAAATTTATTTTGAACCGTGCGCAGCTCTAGTCGAAGAAGGATATCACAGTACCAACCCCTACCATAACGCCATCCACGCGACGGATGTCACCCAGGCGATGCACTGCTTCCTTCAAGAGCAAAAGGTAAGCCTCTTTCTTAATTGTAGTTAATTGAGGTTTAACTGTTATTTCTAAGCGGGTCGCCACGCTACGAAACCAGTAAAATGTCCATTCATCAATATTGCGTGAAAGCATTTTGATTTTGTAAATAAAATCGAAAGATGAAGGGTAGGATACATTTAAAATTATAGTAATATTAATAACCTCGTTTAAATACTCACTACGGTTCGAACAAATTTACTCTTCAAATTCTTCAAGTACTAATATAATCGGCAAGGATGCTCGTTTCGGAATCCATCGTATCTCACCTGATAAAATAATGATAAACGAGCCGTTAATTGATCTTTTTGAGCGTCAAAAAACGAAATTTTCTAGTTTCAAACTCTTTCATTCCTCATAGCTTTGAAACTATTGACAAATATAAAATAATATTTCTTATGGTTTATCTACTTCTAAGAAAGAGGAATTTAAAAAAAAAATGTTTTTTTTAATGAAATGCGATTTTTAAATTAAAAAAAAAAAAAAGCCCGATCTCAAAACTAGCAGCTGCCTATCATTTGATTCAAATGCAGAAGCCCTTGTTGTAAGCCACAATTAGTAACCATTTTATATTGTAGATAAACCTCCTTTGAACACACAACTTCGGTCAGTCGGTTGAAAGCCATTGCTCTTTGTGCGAAAATTTAAATTAAAGTGGCGAAATTTTACGTTTCATTTAACGGAAGAACTGACGGCTGAAATTTTTATATGACGCAAAGGATATTTCCCTAAAAGAAATTTAACCTCGACTGACCATGCACTCTGTTGCATTTTGAAAACTGACGGCGTCAAAGATATCAAATTAGTTACAGTTGGATGTGGAAAAAAGAAAGAATAGTCTGTCTTCCGTTTCTCTTTGGTTTTTTAGGGTGTTCAATTTGAATTTGAAGTTCCGAAACGAAATTTCCCATTCCAATCAGAGGCATATGCAAAAATCTTCTATAGATTTTATTCATAACTTTTTAATGTAGAATCAACAGGTAACGAGTTAGAACAAGTTGATTGAGTGCTTATTTCACAAAGGAAGCTGTCTTCGCCGTTTTTTCCTCCCAAAACTCATAATTTAATCATATCTCGAAAAAATTATGATTAGCAAATGATTTATCATGCATAACCATCTCATGTACCATTTATTCTTTAGTTATTTCTAATATATTGTCCTGTTGAAGAGATTGTTTCAGATCCTCTGCAGCCAGACGTGAATCCATCTTGCACCTCGTAGATGCCTTGCAAATGGACTATTAACCGCTGAAGGTGAATCTGTTTCAGATTCGAGAGCACCTGACTCCAGCGGAGGTGATGTGCGCACTCATCGCCGCTGTGACGCACGACTTGGACCACCCTGGGGTGAACCAGCCCTTCCTTATCGCAACCTCCAACCACCTAGCTGCCCTCTACCAGGTTATTTAATTTAAACACTTTCTTGATAAACAATCAGGTTTAATAATACCATCTACATGCCAATACAAGTCATCAACAATTCCTAAAGTACTATCGATGGATTTTACATTATTAGCATCTGCTACTTGAGTGCAAACATTGCTAAAAAATGAGTGGAATTTTGAAAAAACAAAAGCATCCCTAAGTAAATAGAAGCAAATTCAAAATAACATTCTTGTCCATTCTAAAACCCTCTGCAGTTCCTTTTCGGATTCTCTCTCATACCATTCTAAAAAAAAATTTTTTTGTAATTTCACAAATCACTCAAAAATTATATATTTCTTGTAAATTGAGTTTATGTGCCTTTTGCTTTCAACGTAATGTCAATTTCTGATTCCTTTTTGTTACTAAAGATCGCTAGGATCTCCCTGTATTGTAGAATTCTTTACTTTTTGTAACTTGTTCCAAATCCTTAAATTACAATTTACTTTAAATAACGATACTAATTATTTTTGTAGTCCCTTTTAGACCTACTTTATTTGACAAACTTGTATCATTTGTGCTGCCTTATAATAAATCTTTCTTTTTAATTATATTATTTATAGATATAATTTTTTTTATTTGCTGTTTTTTAACGTCGCGTCGACTTCTAGGGTCATTAACGACAATATTTTTTCTTAGATATAACTTATTAATTTTATTTGTCGAATGTACTTTAGCATTTTTTTCAATACCACTGTTTTCTTTGTACAATGCTTTGTCATCAATTTCCAGAATTGTTTGCACTGGAATATGTGTTCAACGGATTTTCACATTATCTTAGCATTTTCACATGCATCACATATTTGTCAATGTAGTCCAAGAAGTAGGTGGAGATGGGTCAGTTTGGTATGCCCAATCCTGAGCCTGCTTATTATAGTTCATTCTTTTCATGTTAGGTTTTTTGGAGGATATTAAGCTCGATTTTTGTCTTTGGTCTGATGAGGATGATTGAGTGGCAGTAACCTCCACTGTGCATTCCAAATGTTGTTTCTTTTATTTGTATATATTTTTTATGTAGCATTTAAGTGAATTGCATCCATCATTTGTTGCACGTAGAAGTTTAATTCTGTTAATCAGGAGCTTACTTATCAGCAATTGTTAGTTTAGTTATAAATATTTTCATTTATTTGTTGTATGTTTCATGGTTTATTTATTTATTTTGTTGTTGATATTATTATTTTTATTTTAGCTTGATGTTGGCTCAGTAAATATGAACTATTTGCTGCAAAAATAAAATCTTTCTATTATAGTTATTCTCTTTAAAAATAAAAATACACTCTACATCATCTAAACAAAATATAAATAAAAAACTACAACCCATTTTCATATGTTTTACCTATAATCTTATTGCAGAATACATCAGTACTTGAAAACCACCACTGGAGGTCAGCTATCGGCTGCCTTCTAGAGAGCCACCTCGCTGAGCAGGTGTCAGCGCTGAGACCTGACCTTGAGAAGCAGATCAGCTCCCTTATTCTGGCTACAGATATAACTCGTCAGCAAGAATTTTTGACTCGCTTCAAGGTGAGATTTATTATTTTTTTTAATCTTTCAACTGCCGCCTTGATTTTGGTTCCATCCCTTCCAGATTTCCCAAGCATGTATCTCTGTTTTCATTTTCTCTTATTTCAAGTTTTTTTAATCCACCATTCAAATATCAATATTCCATCTTTGTTCTTACACGCAACCACTTTTAGTCAAAAGCCCTTTCAGCCATAATTCTACTTTCGATAGAATTGTCTACTACTTTTCTACTTGTTCTTTCACTATTGCTTGATTCTTTCTTTTCTCAAGCCATTTTTTTTTCTCCTATGGAGTTTCTTCTCTATGTGTCTTCTAGTTTCATATTCTTCCACAGATGATCATATATGCCTTCATTGTACCATTTGTCTGTAAGCCTCATTCTTTCTGTTCGTTATTTTCTCAAAGTATTCATTCAAACATGCTGATCTTATCCTCAAATATTTAAAAAAATTCCTAATATTTGTATTCCTTAGATAAAGAATTTTGTTTTCTTTTTATACTTTTAACTGTGAAACTATAATCTTATATACTAACAGCAGATGATAAAGATAATAACAAAACATATTTACTTTTGGAAGTTCCTCTGTCAAAGCTACAAAATGACTTTTTAAGTAGTAGTTTTCATTCTTAATCAACAAAAATAAAAAGCCTAATCTGTACAATCTTAATATTATAATGAATTCATTTTAATTTTGATCACTGTGACAAAAAAAACTAGAGAGAGAGAGAGAATCACTATATTATCATAAAATGGTGCTGCACAATTACATTGAGTTGCTAAAAACACAGCATACTTATTAATCATTACAGACAATTTTTAAAATAATATATGATTATATAGGATTAACAATATTTATGAGCATAGTATACAATATTTAATATTTTATATATATATATATATATATATATGTATTATTATTATTGTAATTTTTTTTTTGTATATCCTTTTTCTTTTTTTTTTAACATTTATTTTCCCTTTCTGTCACTTCTCTCTCTTTATCTATCTTTTTTTTTCCATTTTCCATTAAATAAATAAATAAATATATAAATTAAATATTTATATACATACATATATTTTCCAGAAATATTTAGATGATGGTAACCTTAATATGGAAGACAAAGAAGACAGGCATTTTATACTTCAAATCGCTTTGAAGTGTGCTGACATCTCGAATCCTTGCCGACCGTGGGAAGTCAGTAAAAAGTGGTCGCAGAAAGTTTGTGAAGAATTTTTCAGGCAAGGAGATTACGAGCGACAGTTAAATTTGCCTGTGACTCCTATATGTGATCGTCAGTCAATTTCTGTACCTAAGATACAAGCAGGTTTGTTAAATTATACTATTTTTTTTTTAAATTTGTCTTCATGTATTTATAGTAAAAAATTTTAATGTTTGGCTGTAACTTATAATAGTTTTAACATGTTTCAAACTATTAACAGTCAGATTTTTTTTATTCGATTATTTGAATATTATGTAATTATTAAAAGGAGCTCTTCTTTCATTGACTGAATTGTGATTTATTTAGTATACATTAAAATTGTAAGAGGCAATTGTTAATAGTAGATTGAGTTTACCAAATCAGCTGATGGAGTAACTATTTCTCCAAATACTCACATTTATTATAGAATTATTTAAAAATGTGTACTAAATGAACATATCATCGAACAGAAAATAAATAAATCAAACAGTACTAATTAAATATTTTATGATTACTTAATTTTTATCTGTTATTTTTGTTGTAATATAAAACAATATTTTAAAGCAGATAATCTATTTATGTTCCAGGTTTCTTCAAATTTGTTGTGGCACCTCTGTTCGAGGAATGGCACAGGTTCTTAGACACATCATTGTCCAAGAGTATGATGAAATACTTACGAGAAAATCAGGCAAGATGGGAAGCTGAAGTTGTAGAAGAAACAAAGACTGACATATCTGAAGAAACTGAAGAACTGCCTGAAGTAATTGAAGAGAAACTGCCAAAAAGAAGACATTCTGTACCTCTCAGCCAAAGGTTTGGAGCACCAGGAACTAGTCACAGGCGGGAAAGCCTTCCAGAGCAGAGGAGAAGGCTAACATTAGGTCCAATCCTTCAGTTTCAAGAGGATGAAGAAATATCAATACTGTCTTCTCCAAGTCTCCGCTCATCAGATAGCAATTCTGATGAGAAGCCTGTTTCAGCAGAAAACCTACTCCCTGATGTTTCAATAGCATCTATCACGAGCAGTGGAAATGTGCAGAGGTTAATGTTGGCCCCTCCACGCCTAACGCGTCAACAAACTTTTCCACCTGTACAACCTTATGTTAGGGCTCGCTATATGTCAACCACTGCAGAGATACTTCAGGGTAGCATCTCTTCATCCTCGGGATCATCAACAGACATTGAACCTAAGCCACTTATAAGGGAAAAAGAGAACGTTGATCCTGATTCTGTCTTTAAAACTCAAAAAACAATTATTAAGCCTCAGTTTCCTCAGGTAATCTTTTAAATATTTTTCATAATATTTTAATAAATATATGAGCAGTCTTCTATCAAAAAGGAATAACTCCAAATTCTAAATGTTTTCGAAAAATGTGTGAAAGGTTTGCCATTGATAGAATATATTTGTGACAAACTTGTATCTCTACTTAATAGGTTTTGTGTTGTAGTGAAAATTAACACTTTAGTAAATATTTATCGAAGTCATAAACATACGATAAACTTTTAAAAAATGGAGTTGTCCCACTTTTGTGGAAAGTGGGCTTATAGCAAACAAAATGTTTTGAAAAGTTTTGATTAATTTTATTTATTTTTTTAGAAGATATTTTTCAAAAATATTCTCTAAAATAAAATAATACGAACTTATTTTAAACACAAAAGTAGTTTTTATAATCTAAACATAAAATAGTAAAGTTAAAAATTAAAAGATACACTGACAGGCAAAAAATTCCACCAACTTGATTTTTTCATGTTTTCATCTAAAAATATTTCTGCTTTGGATTGATCTATTGTTTTATAATATATAATACATGGTATTTGTAGATAATACTTAGTATTTATGGAATTTTATAATCTTTTTTACCTTTAATAGTCAAAATGTGATTGGGAAAGAAAGATTAGAAAAAAAAATTGAAAAACGAACCATTATTATTCTAAAAGAAATTAATTACACCATCGTTTGGTAGCGCGTGTTTCCTCCTCTTGCCTTCACTACTTCTTGAAGACGCCTCAGCATACTTTCCACCAGTCGGGAAATGTCCCTTTGCTGGAGAAGCCCTTTCAAGGTTCTGCAGTGTATCGGGAAGTGTTGAACGCGCTCTTATTCGTCTTCCGAGGCTATCCCATAAATGCTCAATGGGGTTCAAATCTGGAGAACGTGCTGGTCAGGCTAAAACCTCAATATTGTTCTGTTGAAGGAACGTCTGCACTATGCGATTGACATTTGGGTGTGTGTTATCGTGCATTAGAATAGAACAATCGTCGATTTCGTTGAGGATAGGCAACACATGAGATTCCAAAATCTCATCTACATAGCGAATGGCCGTCAAAGACCCTCCACGAACAACAACCAATTCTGTGCGGCGCTCCATTGAAATCCCAGCCCACACCATTAACGAACCATATTGGAAAGGTTGGCTCTGGAAAAAATTACAGGCTGCATATTTTTCGTTTCTTCTTCTCCACACCCTTTCACGCCCGTCTAGAGATCGAAGAGCGAATCTTGACTCATCTGTAAAAAGTACAGCACTCCATTCATCCATAGTCCAATGGCTGTGCTCAATGGCTTAAAAGATGGCTGTGTGAGCAAAAACCAGCCTTGTTACTCTGTGAGTTCTGGTCAGCTCTGGTCCTCTTACTGGACAAAAAGCCATTAATCCATACTCATTTAATCTTCTCCGAGCGGTATGTTCAGAAATTTGCACACCTTGAACTTCTTCGAGCTGGTGAATCGCTTGAACAACGGTAAGGTGCCGGTTTCGTAAAATTCTCAAAGTCAACAACCGGTCATCTCGTGGTTCTGTTACACTAGGCTGTCCAGAATCGGGCCTTCTATTGTAAGAACCAGTTTCCCGAAAAAGCCTGACGGCGTCTCGTAAAGTTTCATATGGAACTCCGATGGCATTAGCTGCATATCTAATGGAACGTCCATCATCAATAAGTGCCACACCATGCGCAACATCCTCAGCACTAAGAGGCATTTTTAAACTTAATATTGAAAAAATTAAAAGCCGGAGACTAAGAAATGTGCTGCAAGAAACGGCACTGAACTAATGATGCTGAATAAACATTTTGATTCCATAGAAAGTAAACATTGGAATCTAGAATCATTTCATTAAATTAAGTATTAAGGGTTATTGTCCTCTATATTAACATTCCTAATTGAAAACAAACAAAAAGGTTACCTATTTATTCATTAAAAACAATAGACCGATCCAAAGCAGAAATATTTTTAGATGAAAACATGAAAAAATCAAGTGGGTGGAATTTTTTTTCCTATCAGTGTATATTGATAAATCAATCTTCAGCATCACCAAAAACCACTGATAATTATTATTAAAAAAAAATAGTTTTAAGTAAACTTTTATTAAATGATGTTATAAAATTAAGTTTCGTTAAATTAAATATGGGGGAGTGGGGTAGCTCAGTGGTAGGGCACTGAGCTTCCAATGCAAAGGTCCCAGGTTCGAACCCCGGCTCATGGCAGAAAATTTATTTATCTGTTTCATTGGCCGTGGGGCGACCCTGGGTTGAGAGTCCCTCCTGGGGCACACCCAGCCTCTATAAAGTGGGTACCCTTAATTAAATAATTAATTAAGGGGGAAAACCTGGCGGTTGAGCGTGATCTCGGTCAAATCACCTCCCTTGCACAGCCGTTGACCTAGAAACAGTACTTTCCCTAAATAGTACTGAACCCCAGACCTTTCATGGGTTGTAGTGGTACAGGTTTTTTTTTTTTTTTTTTTTTTTAATTAAATATGATATAAGTTGAATGATGAATGTTTTAACAACCACAAATAGTTTATTCTGAGATGGTATCATAAAATTTATTAACCGATAATTGCAAAATTTAATTATCAAAAGCATGAGTAAGGGGCCACAACTATCGTTAAGATTTTGTATTGCCAAAAAAACAAATTTGGTTATTAAATTAATGTCTTCTAAATTTTGATAATACCAATTATAAGATATATAAGAAACCACTTATTTTTGGCCATATATGGAGGATTAAATTCTTTAAGGATTTTGGAGGCACTCCTGTTTTTTTTTTTTTGTTTTGTTTTTTCCAAATTAGTTTCATATGCCCAAAATCGTATTCACTTCAATGAAAATTAACATAGCTTTTAGTTTGAAAAGTTATTTTTATCAGAATTTTTCCAATGCCACCATTTTTGATATAACAACTTTCGGAATAGACCTAGATTAATGTTAAACAATTGAAGATAAAAGTGTCCTCTACCTTTATTACGTAGAATGTAATTAATATAGCTAAGAAGAATCTTTTACTAAAAAGCTAAAACAAAATAATAATAAAATTTAGCAGGAAAAACAAGGGAGGTAATATTTTATGGATTTTATTCGATAATGCACTATTAAATAAATTAGAACTGGGAGACGCCACGGTGATCTTCAATTATTTTAAAACTTTCTCGTTAGACCACAAGTTTACAAAAGAACTATAAAACTTTGGAAAATAACTGTAAACAGCCAAACCAACCACTCCTTAGCTGGAGGCAGATTGGGAAGTGTCTTGTCCCTAGACGCTGAGTAACGTCCACAATGTCAAAATGTTACACAACGTGTCTAACATTAGTGCATTGCATAATGTCCCCCATTCTGTTCGGGATACTTTAGACTTGTGATTTTTTGTTTCACAAGAGGCCTGTAGACGGGGATTGGTCTATAGACATGTCTGAGAGACCAAAATTCGCGCAGCTTGTCTACTAGTGTGGGCTAGGCTTAAAGTAATAGTAGGTACTTATGTGTAAATTTTGTTGTTGCTAAATTCTTATTTTATAAATCATTAAAGTTAAGACACACCTCGTTTTAAAAAATCAATTTTTATTTTTAATACATTTAAATTGTTTTAATACTTATTTTCAATTCTAAACAAACTGGTAAATTTTATAGTCTATGACATTAAAATTTTTTAGTAGAAACTAAATTGATGGTTTAATTAACAGATATCCTTAGTGCAAATTTTTTAGTTTCCGATAAAAAGTAATTTAAGATTTGACAGCATCCTGCAATTCGATTTGAAGTTTACGTAAAACATTTGTGTGAACCTAGATTAGAAATTTTCCAAGTTTTCAATTCCTAGTTTAATTGTTATTTACAGCATCTGTGTAGTTGACCAACAATATATTAATTAAATTCTGGTATCTGAAATTTTGTTTGTAATGCCAAATTAAAAATTCTACAACTTGATTATTTAATATTAAAGAATACTCATAAAATGCCAGAAAATATGTGGTTTTGTTACTATTAATTGTAAATATTTTTTAATTACAAATTATAAATATTTGCAGTTGGTGTGCAAGCAACGCCGTGGATCTGCCCCAGTGAGCCTGACACCAAGCGAAGCGCTACCAGCCCGAAGTGCTCGACGTGGTTCAGTTCCAGCTGATCCAACCAGCATCCACAGGCAAAGTAGGCGGTGTTCACTCACTTGTAGGAATCTGAGGCACCTACAGCCAGATTGGATAGAATACACAGTATAACAGCTTCCAAACCTTCTTCCACGTCCTTCCATATACGTTCCTCTAAAGCACTTATTCGATCTTGATGGGACGAATAATTGTCCCTCAGTGTTAAGAGTGAGTTGTTATAATATTATTTACATTAAGACCATTTTTATAGAAATGTCAAAGCAATAAGTAGTTTTGAATGTTTTCTTCTTTTTTTTTTTCTTTTTTACTTTTTTATCCTTGGAGTTAAATCAAATATGCACTTTGAACAATTTCAAGATTATAGCATATATTACAAGCCTGTAAATAGGGACTGCTTTAAGGTAAGATTTATAAAAGAAAAATCTTAATCCTTTATCTTGTAATTTTTTCGGGATTCAAAAGACAGGAATATAATATTACCCCTGTATTATTGTACATTAATAAAATCATAGTTTTTCATATATTAATATAGGAATTTTTTGAATCTGTAAATGGTCATATTGTCTGAACACGGAAAAACTCTGTAGTTTTTTTATAATACACGTTTCCATAGTCATATATTTAATTTGCTTTTTATACATATATTATATATTGTTTTGCTCATTTTATATGCTTTACAATACGCGTTTATTAAATCTGGCACCATTGCTTTTTGCTTCATGCTTCATTCAATTTGAGGAGCACTGTCATTTTCTTTGGCTCCAAATTTATATTTATGATAAAAAAAAAATGAAATGTGGAGGCTTTATACTGTGCAATTCATTTCATCTGGCAGGCTGCTTTAAAACATGTGTATACTTCCTCTTGCATAATTCTCATTTGCCACCATTTTTACAATATTAGCTTTTACATTTTAAACACTTGTGATTTTTTAAAAGCTTTTATGGTGTTGATTTTTTTTATTTATATAGATTTTTTAATTTTTGGCTCGTAGGTGGAGAGTAGATTAGGTTGATAATACAACTTCCAAGACTGAAATTATAAATAACAAAACTCAATACCATAAAATTTTATTTCTTAACAACTTCTTTTGGATATGATAAAATAATTTTAAAGTATTTCAAATTGTTTATATTGTTTGATTTTTCTTAAATTTAATATTTTGGATTATTTGAATAAGTCTTAACAGTTTAAATAAAACAATCAGTTTAACATCAGAGTTTTAACTAATCATCATTGTAAAGTCTTTTCTACTATTTAACCATTAGAATATACCATTATTTTCACAAGTCCGAGTATAAAAGGTATGTACCTCAAAAGATTTTTTTTTTTTTTTTTTTTGTAAACAACATTTCGATTTGCAAAATATTCTGTACAGTTAAATTTACAGAATATTTAGTAAAAATAGTTAACAAAGTTCTCCTGCCTATTATGCAAGTTCTGCTATATCTTGCAAATTTTTGAGAATGGCAAAAACAAGTAATTTTATCTTTCTTCTTAATTTACTTCCTTTAAAGATAATGCTTAGTTATTTTTGAAGAGTTAATGATTTTAATTTCCATTGAGTTATTGTGCATTATGCACTATATTAAAAATAACACCTCCAAAACTTTGATAGAAAATTTACAAACTACAAAACAAATAAACAATGTTGACTCTAATGTTTAAGTTGTAAAAAATTCTTCAAAATAATTATAGTCAGAACTTAAAATTTGAATAAAGGACTGATATTAAAATAAAAAGTGTTGAGACTTATTCAACTAAACAATTAAGAAATGATCATATTAAAGTATAACAAGTTGCATCTATTTTGTTGTTTATTTTTATTTCAGTAGTTAATAAATCAAATCTTTTCTGGAGTACTAATAATTCAAAATATATTATATGATCACAAGTGTTCATTAGTTATAGAAATATTAGAAATTTGCATTTATTCAAGTTAGAGACAAATAGAGAGCAATGTCGATGGGATTTGCGTTTGAATTAGTTGTTTGGCTGCAGTTTTGTTGCTTTTGTGAACACAGGTGTTCTGAAACCTTTGGTCGGGAAAGAAAATTCCGGAAGGCTCTCAAGTGACAGGCCCACTCCAACACCTTTAGTCCAAGGTAACCAATCATGTGACATTATTCTCCATCTATCTCTCCTTCATTACCATTATCAACTGGAGGCCATTGCTTACTAAACACTTATCCTATCTCATCTCAAAGAATTATTGCAATAAAATTTAATGAAAATTCTCTATTTTGGATATGGGTGTAGAAAGAAATGGTTTAACTAAATTTATTACATTTATATTTGGTGAAGGTAGACATATTCAGACAAACACTTTTCTTCTTCAGAGTTTATGTTATATATTTTAATTTTATGCATTTATTGTTTCATTGGAGGCAGGTTTATAACTATTAAATTATATGCTTCTTCATATTTTGTGAAAAGTTCTTAAATTTCAATAAAAATTCACAGTATTCCATAATTATCCTTTTAATGCAGTTCTTATAATTTACGAGGAAGTTCTAGTAATTAGAGCTTGTTAATTATAAGTTTGTATTAAAAGGAAATCCGATAACTTAAAAATCATCAATATATTATTATATCCTTGTATGTTAATTGTTAAAGATACATTAAACTTAATTATTATAATTTTAAGATATGTCTGTTAAAATATAATTGTAATAATGTCGGATATTAATATGATAAAAATTGTTAATCTATAGTTCTGAAGATAGAAGATATCGATACCACAAAACTTTTTTATTAATGTTATTTTTAACCAATAAAAAGGAAAATTTAAAATTTATTATTTTTAAAGAATAAATTATATTACGGTATTGGTAGAAAATTTTTAAAAATTGACTGGATCTCTCTCCGTATTCAAATCTATTAGAACTTAATTTTGTCTGATATGTCAACTACCATCTTCTGAAAATATTTTAGTTCTCATTTGCTAATTATTTTTAAATATTTAATAGCATTTGAGTTTTATTCAAAAAAACAATAACCTGTTGAGAATTTTGTGAGAATCAAAATAGTTTAACTAGATTTTTTGTTATCTAAGAGTTCAGAGCAGCCATAAGGATAATTTGACTCTATATTATTTTTGATTTTTCTTGATTTGAGTATTCCGACCTTAAGTACTCTGATTAGAGCATGTTATCATCCACATAATTAACTGTATCTAAGTGGAAAAATAAAAGATAAGTGGGTCTATCACATAATATAAAAATAAAACTTTAAACAGATATTTATTTCATGCCCATTTATGGTCCAACACACTTGACTATCATACCAGTTTATTAATTTAGTTGTTTTGGTTGTTTTTTTTTCTAAACTTTATTAGCTCTTTTTTTTTTATCATTTTGAATTAATAAACCTGGAAATATACCAAACTGCGAATAATAATTCATATCTGTTCAACTTTGGCATTCAAAAAATATTCATTGAAATACTGATTTGTCTGAAACATTAATTTCTTGGGATAAACTTAATAAATCATTATGATTCCAACTTAGCTTCTATATCATTCCTCCGTGAACAAAATTTTCCTTATATCACTTCTCCATATCACCTTGGAGCTTTTTAGGAAGGAGACCTAGGTCTGACTACGTATGTTGATTGCTCTTCTGATATTTTGTATGGTCCATATTGAAATGATTAATAAGTAATCCTGTTAGAAAATTTTACCACATTAAAACGTTCACATTCTACTTTAATTACTATTTTACCAATTAGCAAACTGATATCACATGAATTACTGGATAGTTTTGAAAAATGTTTTCTGTAAGAGAGATTTTTTTTAGGAACAAACTTTGTAATATCGTTTGAACATTTAGAAAATGTATGGGTAGTAATAGTTATGAAGTATCCTGCTAGCAACATGGTCACAACCAATTCAGAAGGTTTTGAGTTCTTATGAACTTTTAGCAAAGATTTTTTAATTTCTATCATGTAGTTTGACGGCGATTAGTTTTCAGCCCAAGAGTAAATAAATTGTAAATAAAAGAGTAAATATTTTGTAAGTAATATTGGATATTAAGAGGGAAAACAAAAATGAGTTTCAACTTCGTGCCGTACGAGTTCACCCTCGAGCTGCCATCTAATTGTGGTCTAGCCATATAATGAAAGAGCCTAAATCAACTAGATGTTTTTGTGTTCAAATTTTAAATAGTATCTTTATTTTAAAATATTTTGTTTACTTGAACTAACATTATGGGTGAATGTTTCCTGTATTACATTACCATTTACATATTATCTTAGTTTCAGCCATACTTTATTCAATAAATAGTTGTCTGTACGATGACACAAAATATCTTTGTTCTTCACTTGTATCCAAAAAATATTTTTCAGATTTAAGAAACTAAATTCTTTATTCAGAACTTGGGTTGAATAAATTGCATCACTGGTATAATTAAAAACATGTCCTCTATATAAAAAAATCATGAGTTATGAATTTTAGAAAAGTGCATAACACTATATTTTTTTTAACTGATAATAAAACTCATTTTCGGAAGATAAAAAAAAAATACTGTTAAGTGATTGATCTCCATCTATATTGTCTGTCACCTCATTATCTATACCTCGACTAATAATTATCCAATAAAAAAAAAAAAAATACTGATATCAAACCAAAACATTTCCAGGCCTTAAAACAATAACCAAAATTGGAAGCAATCCTATCATGGCATATTCATAGTTAAAATTTTAAAGTAATTATTTAATCTCACTCTTTTTGTTTGAATTCATTTCTAAGATGACTTTCCCATACACCGTTTTTAATATTTAAAACTATAATGCTGATTTGTGCATGTTGTGTTTTATTCTTTCTTTTTTAATTAATAACAAAGTATATCAGTTTTGTTTTTTTTAATTTTATTCTTTTTACAATAATATTATTTGAATTTAATTTATATAATAGTAAAAACCATTGAACATATTAACTGTGGAATCCTCTTGGAGTTGAAAAAATATTACCTTTGCTTAGAAATATTGAACTAAGTCAAAGAAACATATGTTATATGAATATTTGAGCAGTATAAAGTGACTGCCAATTTTGGATTTTAAATTTCAGAAGGGTCCAAAAATTTAATTCTGGGATCAAAAAGGAAGAAAAAAAGGGTTTTTCCTGATCAGATAATATCACCATAGTCATATGTGTTTTATTTATATATATATATATATATATATAATATATATATATATATATATATATATATATATATACTCTATTGATAATCAGGATTGTATCTGCATGTCATTTAAAATAAATGTAAATAAATCATAAGTGTATATTTATATTTATATACTTGTATTGTAAAAAACATGTACAATATTTTTTATTATTGAAATCTATGGATTATTTTAGTCTTATTCGATCTTTAAATACATCATAATACAATAACTACATTTGTGTGTGTGCGTGTTTCAATAAGGTTGAATGTGTATTTATCATTATTTATTGTTATGTATGTAATCTTATTGAGGCACGATATTTATCAGAATTTTTAAAAATACATAATCAAAATCTTGTATCTCATGTTCTTGAATAGTAAATTTCAAAAAATACAACTTTTTGAATTTGCCATGGTTTGTTCATTGCCTCAAAACTTAGTTGGTAAGGGTAATACATAGCCAGTTTGATTTAAAACCGACAAAATTCAAAATTAACTTTTAATGGTTGTGTTGGTGTGTGTATCTATATGTATTTATACGTACACATGTAGCATAGATATAATTTAACCTGTTTGTTATATCAAACTTCCATGTATTGAAAATTTCTATAAATAGAAAAAAAGTCTCATTTAAAAATATGATTATACAGGGTGTTTCAGGTTTAAGTGACCAAACTGCAAAAATGAACTAAGGACCTCAAAACAAGAAAAAAATTTCCTCTGAAGGTATGTCCGCAAACGCTTTGTTTAGGAGATATTCACACCTAAAGATTTTTGTTTTTATGAATTATTTACGTTATATGAAATAAATAAGATTTTGTGTTTAATGTCACCTCAAACAAAAAAATCCAGTGGTGTCAGGTCTGGAGAGCTTGCAGGCCAAGCCACTGGTCCTGCACGGCCAATTCATTGATTGGGATATGGGATATGATTGAGCAAGTCCGTTCAATGACCTTAATTCCTTACGAAGAAGTATAGTTGAATCTTGTGAAACAATAACATATATCCATTGCCGTTCCACTGCTGCTGTTGAAGAAAGATAGTGAGCCTGTCTTAATGCTCAAGGAAATCGCTTTGAACAACATTTAATATGAATGTTAATGTTTACATTTAATTAATAAAGTAGTTAGAACAAATAAATATGTATTATTTATTTCATATAACATAAATAATTCATAACAACGAAAATCTTTAGGTGTGAATATCTCCTAAATAAAGTGTTTGCGGACACACGTTGAGAGGAAATTTTTTTCTTGTTTTCAGGTACTTAGTTCATTTTTGCAGTTTAGCCACTTAAACCAGAAACACCCTGTATAATCATATTTTTAAATGAGACTTTTTCTTCAATATATGATGATTTCATAATTTAATTTTTTTTTTTTTTTTGTTAAGTTAAATTTTTCTTTTACACTTAATGATTTTTATTTAGGCTCATGTTCGTGACAAGAAAGACAAAGTTAAACTGAATTTAAAATGAAAATGTGGCTCTATATTTGAAATAAGATGGTGAGTATCATGCTTGTTTCTTCTCCAGATTTAAAAAAATCTACATTTTAATCATAAAGAAATAGGTTTTAGGTTACTTTCATAAAAATGAGTAATAATTAAAAAAAGTTTTTCTTATCTAATTATTACTGTTTCACTATTTAATCAAGCAATGAAATTTTAGGGAAGAATTAAGCCTTGTTTAAGTACAATCAAAGTTGATAAGTTGGCCTGCAGGGAAAGGGAGCTCGCGTAGCCTTTCCTCTATCAAGCTCCACCTCTCCTCCTCACCCTTGAAATCACCTCATACCGAACTTGTAAAAAAAATTGTAGAAGTTCGTACAGATGAATGAAGACAAAAGAATGGGGGATTGATGGGAAAACATTTTGCCACTGTGCACCTCTTTCCTTCTCTACTCACCGACAAACTTATCTTAGGCAGACTCGATCTAGGAGTAGGATTCTCAGAGTTTCCAAAATAAAGTGGAATTTCATTTTAACTTTGTCTTTCTTCTCCTAAACATGGCTCCAAATCAAAAATCAGTAAATGTGAAAGAAAAGTTGGACTTAATAAAAAAAAGTGGGATAAAACATAAAGAATTCAGTAGAAAAGATAGAATATCAACAATTTATGTGAACCATGATTTGTTTAAGAAAAGGTCAGAAAGTTTTGGATGAGGTCTGAAAGAAATTAGATCCTTAACATGCTATAAAATTAATGATATGGTATTGACATTTAGAAACTTAAAAAATTTCTTTCCATAATATTTTACCCTAAGAAATAATTGTATTTTATTAAAGTATAGTGAATGGAAACTTAGAATCTTTCTATATATTGAAATTTCGTTATATCAATTTTTGTTTAGGAACTTTTATGCTTGATATAGAGAGGTTCAACTATATCTATACCTAGTCCTGTCATAAATGTTTATACAAGGATATATATATATATATATATATATATATATATATATATATATATTTCAACAGAAAAATTCATTTTTTCTAAAACTTTATTAGAAAATAAAGTATATCTATAGAGAGTAAAACTAAAAAGAAATTACTCAAAATGTTTCCCTTTTATCTTGGCCCAGGTATTTAATCTCCATGGCCAGTCATCAATAACAGCATTCAGCATTTGTTGAGAAAAGCGCTCAACTGTTCGGACCAGAGATTGCTTGAGGCTTCCCATGTTGGGGTATGCTCTTTGGTATGCTATTCTCTCCAGTTCGGACCAAAGCCAAATCTAGTGTTTTGAGATCAGGGCTTCCAGAGGGCCAATCTGAAGCAGAGATGAACTCTGCAATGTTCTTTACCATGAGTTGACCTGGTATTGTGAGCTTTAGTGGAATCCTGCTGAATAACCCAATGACTTCCAGCAAACAGGGTATCATTTAGAGGCTTGACAACAGGTTCCAAAATATCGTTTTGATAGTTTTTAGCGGCTGTTTTAATTTCTTTTTCTCAAAAATGGGGGTTTGTGGTGCCATCAAAGCAAACTCTCCACCCTACCATCACTGAGGAATGGTTGACCTCTTTTCACTCTTCCAATGACTTCCTGGGCTTCTTTAGAGATGTGTGCATACACACGATCATTTTGGTGACTAAATTTTTCTTCAATTGTAAAAATGTTCTCATCGCTAAACAAAATCTTTCAATGAAGACCATTGGTGTAATGGCCAAGGAGCACTTTGCATTTTTTTTCCCTAATTTTTTTTTTAGGGAAGTGGTTAGCTTTTGTCCTATCATTCTTCAAAATTCACCCATCCTAAGGTCACTTTTTATCATGCAAGATATTGATCTGACAGAGATTCCCATTTTCCGAGACATGTTTTGTTGTTTTCGAATGGGATTTCTTCTGATTTGAGCAGCCACTGCTCTCACTGCATTTGCCTTTCTCACAGTCCGGTCGAGGTCTGTGACATTAAGATAGGGTCTCATTATATCTATTTATAGTTCTGTACACGAACATACAGCTGATACCCAAAGGTTTCAAAGTGTTGAAAATCTCTGACCTACATTTTCTAACTTTTTGTAAGGAGATCACAGCTATTCAGTTTTCTTTGTCACTCCACGCCACGTTAACTGCCAAAGAAAAATACAAACTAATTGGAATTATTATCGTGACATGTAAAGAAAATAATCTGATAAAGATAAGGATTATCTAAATAATACCCAAGGATGTAAACAAAATTCAACTTTTGTAATAGTATTTATGGCAGAACTAGGTATATATAATCAACAAGATGGTCATGATTAAGCAAAAGTTGAAAACATTTTAAATTTTGAGTTGTGCTAATTTTGTTTCCAAATAGCAAAATATATTATTAACTTCATAAGGTGAGGGATGGTTGGACAGATTTATTTTAACAGTTTTAGAGAAAAATTGGTTGTTTAATTTGTTAAAATAACAATGCTTCTTATCACTTACTATAGTTATTTAGTTTGATTATCCTTTTAGTAAGCTTATGGCCATTTCAGAACCATCTGTGGTTAATAATGTCACATTTTTGTTTTAGTCATTCTCTTAGTTTTTTAAATATTTTTTGTCCTAGCAAAAGTTCAATTCTGGCTTAATAATAATAATTAGTAATAATAAAATATGCTTTGCATATTTTGCAGTACTTTATCTAATAAACCAACTTATTGGGTTTTGCCCTTAACCTTGGGAAACACTAATAAATTCATTAATGGGAAACATTAATTAATTAATTGAAGGATTTGTATAATTAATAATTCACTGTGGATTCATCATATTTACTTTTTTACTTCTCTTATCTGGAGAGAAGAGATATCACAGCATTTGTTTTACTGCATCAAGTATAGGCATTTCTGAAGGCTGTTGAGATATCACTCTGTATTCAATAAATCAAGCACCTAGTGCATAATAAATGAGAAATGTGTTTTTCTATAGAGAAGAACAAAACAGGTCTAAAGATTTTAATGAAATCGCCTAAAGGCATGCATAGTACATCCTTAAGTAAAAGGAGGAAACAATTTATGACAAAAAATAATCTCGAAAAGTATTCCTTTTATTACAAATTTCAGGAAGATACGGCAAATTGATATTTTTACAAAACTAACTCACTAAAGGATTAAATAATTTGTTGTTGTAAAATTTAATATATTATAATATAATATATAAGTTAAAAAAACAATTGAATAATGTTGGTAAGGGACTGCATGAAAACAAATATATTAATGTAGGACATTCTTTGTCAAAACTACCCTTCTATCTTCTGCCTGCCTTTTATTTTATTTTAAAATAATCAATTCTTAAATGAAAGTTGATGACGTACAATTTTTTCAGCAATCTGAGTTTATGAAAAAATTTAAAATTAAAAGTTTATGAACTACATTATATTTTTAAATTAACTGACTTAAACCAGTTTAAACTCATTGATTGGTGGTTTTGGAATTGCTACATCTGAATCTGATGTCTTACCATCAAAATTTAAAGTATTGAAATAAGTTAAATTTTTTGATACTTAGCCCTATCTAAAAATAGAGCTGGACCATTTGTCATAACTTCATTAATATCTTGGAAAGAGGTTATGAAAGACTAATTATTTATGATAGGAAAAATGATAATTTTATGTAATAGTACAAAACTGTAATACATGATGAATACGGAGCTAACGTTTAATTTTAATTGATGATTATAAGACATATCTTTTTGACTTGAAAATGGAAAAAAAAAAAAAAAAAAGAGCCCAAAATGTCATCATATGATTTTTTCATGAAAATTTACTAAATTATTTTTTTTTAAAAGGGCTTTAATAGAACCTCGTTAAAGAAAATTAGTATTTTAAAAAGAAATTGCCAAATAATATATTTTCATATTTTGAGCAATAGTACTGAGTATGTATTTATACTATTAGGATTCTTTCTGGATAAAATAATTTCTTTAGATCTATCTAATAACTGTTTAATAAAACATATTTTCTTTTTCAAAAATGAGAAGTAGTACACTTTTATAAGGATACTTCCAAAAACGTTATTTGTCTCCTTCCTGTGACAATCAGATAAAGGCCGTTGACAGGTAATTTATCCTTCATAATAATTAAATATGGTGGTTATTTTTCTGAATAGGGCCAGATGAGGAGAGGAGACGACGGCGATCTAAGAAGATATTGCGACGTAGGAGTTCAGGAGGCCCGGAAACTTTCAGGTCAATCAAGGAACAATCAGGGCGACGTAGGGGCTCTCTTCCTATAGAAGTACTATCTTCATCGTTATCTGGTGAGCACACTATTTATTTATTAACTCCCACAATCACTTCCTTACTTTTTATGGAATAAGATTGATAAAAACCCAAAAACATTACATTGAAAAATAATCCCTTAAATTTGTTTTGAAAAACAATTAGGTTAAGTACAATATTATATTTCTTAGTAGATTCGGTTTGCTGATTTTTTAATTATTATTTCTTTTTGATGCAACATGAACTAAATATTAAACAGTTGAAACTTGAAAGATTTTTCTTAGTGTTAGAAAATTTATTTTTAAAGTTTGATGTAGACTCAACTGGTTCAAGTAGTTATAGCACAAGAAATATTAGTCTGTGGGCCAGACCCCCTTACCGTGCACCCCCCCCCCACATCCCTATAAATTGCATATCGTTGTGTTCCTTGTAACAATTTATTAAAAAAAAGCCAATGTTCCCACAAAAAAAAGTGAACGCACTGCCCCAAAATGGCGTCCAAAGATGGCGGATTGACGACTTTGACTTTAGTTAGTTTTTTGGTCACTGAGAATCAGCATTAAGCTTAATTTCCTCATAGTTGGTCTTTTATTAAAGCTGAATAGTTATAGAATAATAAAACATGAAGAAATATTAAAAAATAATTGTCTAAGGCTATGAAAAACACCAGTAAAGTCAATTTTTTTAACAAAAAAATTTTCAAGTTACAAATCAAGCGTCGTTTGTAATTAAACGGCCTACAATAACGCAAAACGTGCTGAAATAAACCATCTGGAGAATATATTTCTCTTTCTGAAACGCTGATTATTTTTTACAAATGTTTAAGTAGTTCCGTAAAAAATGCACTTATGCGGCAGAAAAGCGGTACTGGCGTGGGTGCCTACAGGCCTCTACCACACCATTCAGTGCCCATAAATGGCTTAGTTATAGTGATATAATAACATTTTTGGTACATTATATTGGTTTTATTAACGAACAAATATTAATGCAATAATTTTATAGTAAAAAAAAAAAATTTAATTTAAAAAAAAATTTATTATAATTTTTTTAAATTTTAACCTCCTTTATTTTATACGTAGGTCGTTTAAGAATACCTCAATTGTAAAAATGATATAATTATAATAATAAAAGTTAATTAAAAAATATTTTGCTAAATATCTTGATTTTTTTTTTATTTAACGTTTGCAATTTAACACTGTGTTTTGAATATTTACTGATTCTTAGAAGTAATTAAAATTTTTATATATTTCCCAGGAAATGAGTCATATTCATACCTTTTTTATAAACTAAAATAATATATACCTAATCTGAACTATATATAATGAATAGCTACCGGGTTGTTTAGTAAAACTCATATAACACTAATTAAAAAATTAATTTTTATTTCCTTTATTTTGTGCAGAAGTTGGACTATATCATAAATAAATAGGAAATTTTAATATTGAATGAATTATTCTCTATGCACAAAGAAAGATATAAAGGGTGACCCTATAAGTTCTTCTATAAACCAAAACTGATTGTTTGGATTTGATCTCAAAATGAGGAAAAACGTGAACTTAAACGAGAAAATTGGAAAAATACATTAAGCGAACGAGAAAGGAAGTGCCAAAACCTCGGAATAGATAAAAAGGACCAGTTATATCCATTATATAGCTAAATGAATGTATAGTAGATAGATGAACAGAATATTTCAAGATGCTGCTAAAACGGGATCAATTGCAGTTTGGATGATATTAAGTGGACGATGTAGGTTTATTATGGTGAAAACCACTTTATTTTCGATTGCTGAAGGTGCACCTCGGGACTATATTAACTTTGAAGATGAATATAGAGATGTATATCGAGAAAGTTATAGCTCATAGCTTTCCTTCTGTTTAGTGGATTTTCAAAAGATTTTTTAAGGGATCTAAAAGGAAAACGAGTTTTTCTGAAAGACAGTTAGATATTAGCATAATCCAAAGTGTGAGGCACTGAGCAGATAGAGAGCTATTTTTCTTTTTATGTGGACTTCTCTATAACCTGCCTTAAAGTGAAGACAGTCCCAATTTTCAACTTCTCTTCCAATGTGCAACTTGAGTTTCTCAATCCATATCGCTCTGGCAATCGACAATATTTCTTATTCCAGCTTCTACGATTCTTGTGTATAATTTGTTTGATACACTAAACAGGAATGGGTCTTGATGGGTATTACATTTCCTAGTATCTCCTTTCTTGTAAAGGTAAAAACCACAGTCCTTTCATATTATTTTCTAATATGCTTGTTGCCTATGTACGCGCAAAACTGTCAAAGCAGTTTGGTTTCGCCCTTTCCATCTTTCTTTGTGCAGAGAGAATAATACATTCAATATTAAAATTTCCTATTTTTTTATGATATGGTACAAATTCCGAACAATTCAAGAATAACGAGAAGAATAGCGAGCTACAACTAATATAAGATACCTTAAAAAATCTTTTGAAAATCCACTAAACAGAAGGAAAGCTATGAGCTATAACTTTCTCGATATACATCTCTATATTCATCTTCAAAGTTAATATAGTCCCGAGGTGCACCTTCAGCAATCGAAAATAAAGTGGTTTTCACCATAATAAACCTACATCGTCCACTTAATATCATCCAAACTGCAATTGATCCCGTTTTAGCAGCATCTTGAAATATTCTGTTCATCTATCTACTATACATTCATTTAGCTATATAATGGATATAACTGGTCCTTTTTATCTATTCCGAGGTTTTGGCACTTCCTTTCTCGTTCGCTTAATGTATTTTTCCAATTTTCTCGTTTAAGTTCACGTTTTTCCTCATTTTGAGATCAAATCCAAACAATCAGTTTTGGTTTATAGAAGAACTTATAGGGTCACCCTTTATATCTTTCTTTGTGCATAGAGAATAATTCATTCAATATTAAAATTTCCTATTTATTTATGATATAGTCCAACTTCTGCACAAAATAAAGGAAATAAAAATTAATTTTTTAATTAGTGTTATATGAGTTTTACTAAACAACCCGGTAGCTATTCATTATATATAGTTCAGATTAGGTATATATTATTTTAGTTTATAAAAAAGGTATGAATATGACTCATTTCCTGGGAAATATATAAAAATTTTAATTACTTCTAAGAATCAGTAAATATTCAAAACACAGTGTTAAATTGCAAACGTTAAATAAAAAAAAATCAAGATATTTAGCAAAATATTTTTTAATTAACTTTTATTATTATAATTATATCATTTTTACAATTGAGGTATTCTTAAACGACCTACGTATAAAATAAAGGAGGTTAAAATTTAAAAAAATTATAATAAATTTTTTTTTAAATTAAATTTTTTTTTTTTTACTATAAAATTATTGCATTAATATTTGTTCGTTAATAAAACCAATATAATGTACCAAAAATGTTATTATATCACTATAACTAAGCCATTTATGGGCACTGAATGGTGTGGTAGAGGCCTGTAGGCACCCACGCCAGTACCGCTTTTCTGCCGCATAAGTGCATTTTTTACGGAACTACTTAAACATTTGTAAAAAATAATCAGCGTTTCAGAAAGAGAAATATATTCTCCAGATGGTTTATTTCAGCACGTTTTGCGTTATTGTAGGCCGTTTAATTACAAACGACGGTTGATTTGTAAGTTGAAAATTTGTTTGTTAAAAAAATTGACTTTACTGGTGTTTTTCATAGCCTTAGACAATTATTTTTTAATATTGCTTCATGTTTTATTATTTTATAACTATTCAGCTTTAATAAAAGACCAACTATGAGGAAATTAAGCTTAATGCTGATTCTCAGTGACCAAAAAACTAACTAAAGTCAAAGTCGTCAATCCGCCATCTTTGGACGCCATTTTGGGGCAGTGCGTTCACTTTTTTTTGTGGGAACATTGGCTTTTTTTTAATAAATTGTTACAAGGAACACAACGATATGCAATTTATAGGGATGTGGGGGGGGTGCACGGTAAGGGGGTCTGGCCCACGTGTATATGGCTGCCTAGTGTGAATCAGTATCAACATGTCCTACCTACTCTAACTGCGTCATTTTTGGAGATACTAAAACAAACCAAAAACTGAATGATACTTATTATGATGTTTTCCTCTAATTTTTTTGTCCTTACAACATATCTCATTAGTAGTGAGCAAAGTTGTTAACAAAATTGACAACTATAAAATTAAAATTAACATTAAATGATTCATTTAGCGTAGCAATACTGTAATAATGAAAAGAGTCTCAACTTTAATTTTTTTTTTCATTTGTAGTCTTATCAGTTTTTTTAGAAATGAATTTTGAAAAATGCCCATAAGTCTTTTTCGGTGAGATCTGAATTTGAATATCACAAAAATGACTGAGTGGAAAATGATGAAACTTGTACATTTTATAACCTACCATAGAATTTTTATGATGCTAAACCAAAATTCAAATCAGTGCTTCAATTTCATGTGCTGATTTATCATTTAAAGAACAAAATTTCCAGACATATTTGATACCATATAACTCTGGAGCCAATTGAGTCTGTCACTAAATTTGTTCCATATGTCCTTATCAATTGTATTGTCAATTTTTTTAACAACTTTTCTCACTACTTATGAGATATATTGTAATTATGAGACAATAATTTTATTTATTTTTTTGCTTTGATATCTTCAAAAATGCTGCAGTTAGACTAGGTAGGGTACACTGATACAGACTTATACTAGGCAGCCATATTTGTTGCGCTATAACTGATAGAACCAATTGAGTCTCAATGATCAACTTTGTATCACACATTAAAAAAGTACAAGTTTTTCAAGATTGAAATTTCATCAGCAAGATGAACAGTGGTAGGACTACATATGAAGAAAAAAATTAAAGTTGGGACTTTTTTCGTTATTACACTTTGCAGCCCTTAAAGTCACTTTTTTTTTGTCTATTTTCATGATTTTTTTAAACCACTTTCCTTTCTTTTTAGGTGATGTATTGATCAACAGAAATGTAGAAAAAATATTCTAAATTATTTCAGGTTTAATTTTGGCTAGATATCTACAAAATAACCAGAGTTGCAGGCGTTTTTCCAAAACATGTTTTCAGTAAAAAAAAAATTAAAAATGGCCGCCGAGAAAAAATTTAAGCCTTAATATTTTTTTGACTGTGGTTTTGAACTCTCAAATAAATATGGAATAACTGGTAAAAAAAATTATAAAAATCAAAAATGTCAATCAACAAAATTAATTCAAATTGGGTGATTTCAAATGGAATCTCCCTATTATAAGTTAGAATATTATAGATTGTTGTTATATTAATAACAAAATTATTCATTTATTGTGAATTTTTTCTTTTTAATTTAATTATGGCTGAATATTTTACCTTTATTACCTTCTTTCACTATTAAGTAGCATATTATCATAATTTTCATGCCATATTATAATGCATAAAAATATATTTTGTAAGGCATATTTTAGCAGGTATATTATAAGGCGTATTTGAATAATTTTTATTGCATATAAATCCAGGCCTTGATCATTACTAATATAAATAAAATTAATTGTTGACGATTTTTTTTTCTGTTACGTTATGATCTGGTGCATTCATAGATTGCAATGGCAGTAAATGTTAATCAACTGCACTCACTGTAAATAAACTAGTAATTAAATATTTATATTTAATTTAACCATTTGACTGCTAGGCCTCAAAACAAGTGTTTCTTCCTAATGGCGGGTTCCCGAAATCCAAAAAGATGTTCGGAACAAGAGAAGTTTTTTTCTCCTTAAATTGGTTTAAGATTATTTTGAGTCGCCCTGAAAGATATTAGCTTTCAGAAATGCTCTTAAAGACGGATAAAAATTCATTTAAAACCTTTTTATTTAATTTTTAATAACTGGGACATATGCCTTCCCAAATAGTAAGAAACCAGAACGACCGAACTGAGTGAGCTCCAGAGGACTAATGAATGTACTGACAAAGCCAAAGTCGGGCTTTCCTCTACCACTGCAAGTGGCGACAGTTTACTACAAGGAAGGCAGGTATTCGGGCTGCCCCAGGGACCCGACCGCCGACTAGGAAGGCAGGTATCCTGTTCACACAAGTGACCCAACTACTAACGGGAAGGCAGGTATCCCACCTGCACCCAAGGTTTTAAGTCAAATAAATATAATATTACTCAACAAAGAATTTTCTCCTTTTTTTTAAATATATTAAATGAAAATTCTTCATCTTATGGATACTCCCCAATAAGAAAGTGCCGGCATCGACATTTAAACCGCATGCCCAATAATGGTTTGACCAAGTTCTTATTTCAATGGATTGAACACAATCTAATGAAATTTTAATATCTAACATACATAATTTCAGTTACTATTTTTATTGTTGCAGGTAGGAACAGCTCAACAAAAGAGAACATGAGGCATTAAGGACCTAGTAGAAGGTGTTTTGTGAATCAATTAATCAGCACCTCACAAACTTTATGTGAGAGACTGCAAAATTGTGATAAATTTATTCGCAGCAAAAAGCACAAACTGAAAGAAATCATTCCTCGTGTTTCATTTTTGGTTTTCGATTTATTTTTTATTAAGTGAACTATTCTTTATATGCCATATGAATATCTTGTATTATTATTCCTGTCTGTGGTAATAAGTGTAAATGATAAAAAGTAAAAAAAACAACAAAAAATATAAACTATAAAGGCTCAGCCAAGTGTTAAGACATATATTGTGACTATATATTTATTATTGTTCTTAGATATTTCATATTATAAGGATTAGTTATGATATGAAGTCATTGTGTTCAAAATTAAAAATACTATTTATACTTAATGTTTAAGGAATAATTATGGAGATCTGATCATAAAGCAGTAAAACCTTCCTATAAGGTTTCCTATTAAAGAGGCACAAAGGGAGTTTAATCACTTAATTATGATTTTCTAACAAGATGGTTGTTGTGCCTAAACAATGAATTAATATTACTCCATTGGAGTATCAAATGTTAAAGTGTTAGTTACTGTGAATATTTTTTATATATCGTGATAATGTATTTCTTCCGTTCAATTTATTTAATTTTTAAGATTTTTTTTTTAATTAATGATTTGTATATTCGAGGAATTAAATTTAAATTTATGAAATTTCTATGGCAATAATGTTTCGGCAGTGCAATTCCAGTTCTTTGTTAGAGATAGGCTACAGCTGTATCTAGTCAGTACAAAGGAAGGCTGGGCCGAAGATGATAAACTCCTTATCACCATCTTGTTACCCCATTGAAAATGTGTTCAACCAGCCCTGGACTTTGGGGCACGACTGTGAGGAGGGCTCATGGTTAACAAGAAGCTCATGAGATAAAGAGCTCTTCTAATTTAGCTTTCTCTCAAAAGATGTTGTAAATATGTCTTTTATATATGTAATTGTGTCTATTAAATCTACTTCTTAGTAATATATATATATATATATATATATATATATATATATATATATAAAGTTGAGGTGCAAGCATGCGTTCATACCAGATTACGCGTTTTCTTATTTCATCTTTCTATATAGAAAAAAAAGATAATAAACAAAATATAAAAATATATGTATGACCTAGTATGACGTAGTATAATCTTTTCTTTTATTTTATTTTTTATGGGACATATTTCATTTTGAGGTACAAAATATTTATTTATATGTATAAATGTTGATAAACTCAACCTTTTTTTATAAGACTGAGTGACATTATCATTGTCAACAGGGTCGAGTCGATAAGTATTCAGCACAATATCAAGAAGTAATATTCTTTCAGATTTTTTTTTTTTTTTTTTAGTTAAACTTAATTTTAAATTAAATACTCGAATTATAATTATTATGGTTTTTATTAATTAGGATTACACACTCTTAGAAATGTTTATTTATATAATTTTTTTTTAGTTGTACTTACTTTTATAAATATTTACAAGAAATCTATATGGGTAAAGGAAAAAAAAAAAAAAAAAACTAGAAAGTATAAAAACACTATTGTAGCCTCATAAGTTGAATCAATTATTTCCTTTGCTGGTAATATTCCAGAATATTGGTTCCTGTTGCAGTACACATGAAGTATAGCTTACCAGCAATTGGTATAAATTTATTTTGATAATATTATGAGCCTTCCGTCATTGATAAATAATTTTTTAATTGTAACCCCACCATTACGATTAAGGATTGTTAGAATTGAAAGTAAAATAAAATCAGTTGTCTTCATATAAAAAGAGCCTAGAAGATATATTCTTGTCTCTTCAGAAAACAGATACAGACAGTTAGGATTTAAATTAAACTAATAAGGCGCAAATAATGTTTGAAACCTTCAGATAAGATTGTCTTAAAATGTAAATAATCCTCTTAGAGGGTCCTTGTAAATTGAGATTGACGGATTAAATAATAATTAACTCCCCAGCACTACAGGCCAGCATGACCCTTTGGTGTCCTGATTTTCTCTTCTCCACTTTTCTCTGTCCTTGCTTCTCTCTTCCAATTTCTGACTCCTAGCTTCATTACACCTCTCTCCACTACATGGTTCCAGCTGCTTCTTGACCTTCCTCTTTTATTCTTCCCATAGAAGTACGCTTCTAATATTTTCTTCTGCACCTGTCCATTATCAGTTCTTACAACATGTCTTGCCCATATCAGCCTACTTGCTTTAATATAGTTAATAATGTTATGATTCTCTAATATAGCCTCGATTTCATTGTTGCTCTTAATTTTCCACTCACTATTAACTCTTTTAGCACGGTAAATCTGTATATATATTTTACTTTCAAATACTTCAAGTTTACGTCAATCCTCTAGCGACAAACACCAGGTTTCCGCTCCATAGGTGACTGCTAATCTAATAAGAGTTTTATATAGCTTTAATTTTGTAGCTTTTGACAACAATTGATACTTGAGAAGTTTAAGATTTGCATAGTAGGCTCCATTTCCAGCCATTATTCTGTCACTGATTTTTTTTATGATGAAATTTTCTTTATTCAGGGCAGAACCGAGAAACACAAATGTGGGTACATTTTCAAACCTAAAATTCCTTATCTTGATGTAGCTGTATACTTTTACTTGCTGTCAAGTAAAGGTTTAAGTATTTAGTTTTGTTTTCATTGACTACAAGCCCTACCTTTTTGCCATTTTTGTATATTATTTCAAATGCCCCTTTAAGTGCCTTTTCAGTTGTGGCAGCAATCATTAGGTCATCAGCATAGACACAAATTTGCCATGTCTTATCAACTATAGTGCCTTTTTTAGCTGCATCATTCACAGCAGAATGCAAACCTATGTTGAATAGCATTGCTGATAAGACATATTCTTGACGCATTCCAGATTGTACCTTAAACAACCGACCAACTTTATTTCCAGGAACAACTTTCTATGGTCATGCATATTAAATGAATTAATGTATGCGATACTCCATTTTTTTATTAAAATTTTTAACTTAGCTGATCTCTTCATGCTATCGAATGCCTGCTTATAGTCAACAAATAATAAGTGCAGATCAATATCATATTTATAGTACTTTTCCATCATTTGTCTAATAACAAAAATCTATACTACCTCTGCCAGCTCTAAAACCATATTAGTAATCTATTAAAATTTCTTCAGAAAATTTCACAGCCTTTTTAATATTATGCAGGACTCCTAATAGGGTTATTCCTCTATAATTTGCGCACTGATCCTTGATTAAATACTGCTTTATTTTATTTTCAACAAAAACAATTCCAAATGAATAAAAGTGAAACAAAAAATAAAGAAAAGAAAGCAAGAATAAAATATAGAAAACGGAAATATCTTGAAATTGATACAGGTATTTGATTTAACACTAGAATGGTAAACCTCAATGTCAGTAATTTATTGATAAATCTTCATCGTTTCGACTACTAGAGTTAAAATATCTTTTTAGAGAGTATTAAAAGAAACAATATGAAATAATGATGATTGTATTATGTTGATAATGTAATAATGATCATATAAAGTTTATTATATTATCATATAATAATAATCTTTATATATTTTAGTACAGAAATTGTAAAACATAAATCAATGCAGTTTTCAATAATCAATTTCATAGTTAAAATTTCAAAACTTATTAGTTTGAATTTGTATGATTTTTACTTCATTAGTTTATGAAGTAATATGGAAAATGTCGAATAATATTAAAATGACACAAATTTATATTTTTTAATCATTTATTTTTAGCATTGAAAAAATTAATTATATGATAAGAAGTTTGGCTTAATTGTATGATTTTAGTGTTTTGAATTCCACTAATTAAAATTTATTTCAATAAGTTATAGATCGAGATAGATTACAGATCGGCTCTCTTCAAAAATGATACTATAAAAATTGTTGCAGATTAATAAAATAAGCCAAATTTTATTTAAAATATAAATACAATTTGTGAATAATGAATGAATAGTTATGGAAAAATAAATCAATAATATCATACTAATATTAGATATCTTGGATTAAAATCCCTCATATAGAAGCCTTGTTAATAAACCTTAGTCAAAATTATTAAAATATTTTACTTGTAATAATAAATCTTCGCCAAATTGAAAGAGTTTATTTTGTTTAGACATACTACATTAGAAATAGAAAATCGTGATTCTTCATTTTGTGTGGTTCAAGGAATACTGAGTTCCCGGAGGTTGGCTTTGTCAATTTAATAAAGATTTACCATTCTAAGTTTAATAAAAGCAAGGAATGATATAAAGAAAACTCATTTTATTCTTTGAAATCCATATCAAGATATCTGTAGTAACAGTCCAAAATTGTTATTGAGAATTCGCTTTTTTATATTAATATTGTTATCAAGTTGTGTGCTGTAAAACAGAAGCCAATATTAAAAAAAAATTAAATTATTAATTTTCCAGAGGATATAAAATCTATACTTTTTTCTTTGTTGTTCTCAGTATTACCCAATGTATTATTTATAGATTATTTTAAAATTGAATGAGATTCTAAATTGTTACACTCTTATATTAAGTTCTGATGAGAACTAATGAAACTTAAAATTGTGAAGTGTATTTTATTCTTTAATGACTATTACATATTTTGAAGCAACAGTGAACTAATTTTTTTCATAATATAGGGACCATGTGATATTGAATGCACATGAAGTTTTAAAACATCATAGTTTTATTACTATTTGATTGGTGAAGAAATTGATACACTTTATTGCATATCATCATCAATATTGAAAGGATTAGTAATTATATTGTTGCATTTTGTTTTTCTGATTTCTGGGTTTCTCTTTGAAAGGATGGAATTGAATAACTGCAGTCCCTTTAATACTTACCTTTAAATATACAGTTAAACCTCGATTAATTGGACTTAAAAAACAGAGTGAAGTTAGTAACAATGAAAAAAAAAGTTATAAAAAATAAACCTAATTAGTAACTAAATTTAAACTTACAAGATAATAACTAATTACTATAAGCTGAGCAGTAAGTCACGAATGGTTGTAATCAACATAATGAAATTAGGGAAGGAACAATTATGTTATTCAGAATTGAGAAAATAAAAGAAAAAACCTTTATGAATTTCAGACAACTCATCTGTGGTTATCAACCAGTACAGTACTTAGCAAAAACTACAGAATTAAAAGGTTACTAAACAAGTTGACAAGCCCTACAAATAAAAGTATTGATGCTTTGATTTTCATCAATTTGATTTATTTGATTTGATCAAATAATATTTCTGGCCTCGTGTGTTCTTTATTCATTTTCTTTTTCATTTATCATTTCGAGATGTATAAAATTATTTTAGTAATCAAACACAACCTAAGTCAGGAGTTCCAACTCTATGACTTTCGGCACCATTTTGCCCTTGGGATTTCACCTATCCCCATTTTACCTAACCTAACCAACAGGGGTCATAAGGGCTGTCATAAATGCATTATGTAGGAGTTTTTTTAAATAAAATATCTAATAAGTAATTCATTGGAAATATAATCATGTTTATTTGAAAATAGTCATTTATTGAAATAATAGCATTTGAAAAATATTTTCCACTCAATATTCATCATTATTTTACTTTTCTTATTCTTCTTTTTTTTTCTTTTTTTTTTTTGTAATTTCGCATCCAACATCTATTTAATCACCAGTTATGTGCTGGTATGTCTGTCAAATTATTGTATTATAATCATATTCTCCAAATTAACAACCAATGAACAATGAAATAAAGTGTATCACATTATCTTAAGGATTTTTATTAAATATAAAGAAATTTTATATTTTGTATTCATTTCCAATTATTATTAAATAATTATTTATTTTATATAAGAATATAAGCAATACCTTATTACATCTTAATATTATTCTTTTTTATTATTATTAACAATTTTTAAGAATGACAAATCTCTGAAAAAACACAAATTGGTGCCCGTCACTTGACTATTAACTTACAAATGTGTCCTTAAGTGCAAAAGGGGAATCCTGACTTAAGTTAGATAAATCAATTTAACCTTTATAGAAGACATCTATTGATGAAAGTGCAAAACTAATTAATTACTGAATAAATAATAAAAAAACTTATTTTTCCATTTTGCCATACATTATAATTAAATTTTAGGGAGGAAATGGGGTTATATAGCAAAAAATAAAATGAATGGTTACATTCTCCTCTGTACATTTAATTAACTTCATGAAATTGAGGTTTCACTGTACATATACATATTTGTACAAAGCTTGCATCTTTAGTTTGAAATTCAGTAAGTGATATATCAAATTTCAGTTGTTCCTAAAAAAACTATATTTGCATATTTGCTTCTAATCGCAACGATTCTGATTTGAAATTGCGTTATCTGACAATCTTATTACAGCAATATTTATAATCAACATTGGTTAGTTAAGAGTATGAACATAATTGAATAAATCCATTCAAGTTAAACCCAGCAACAGTGGACTATCAATATACAGGGAAAAATAACCTGGAAAAGTTGACCAAAAAGATTTAAAAAAATAAAAAGTAAGTTTAAAAATATTGAAGACAAAATGTTTAAAAAAAAAAAAAGAAAAAAAAAATTAAAACGTCCTATACATATACGCTTAACTATCTTCCCTAAAAAATTCTCCTCGTGTTGTGGATCAATGTTAGGTGTTTTGCTATATATGTGCATGACAATTGAATGTTAATTGAAATCATTATAGAAATTATGTCAATACATGTTACATTTTCTTTGTTTTAACCAGTCACTTTTTTTACCTATTTACTTTTACTTCAGTTTGGATGTCTGTACTTTAGAGACTAATGGACCCTATATTATTTATTATTATTTTTAATATAGTTTTTTATTTATGAAATATGTCAAGTTGGCACCTTAATCATTTTTATTTTTGGAATTAAAAAAAAAAGTTCGATAGACTTCAGGAAAATAATTTGCTTGTAGTACTATAACATAATAAGTAGAAGCTTTATATATATATATATATATATATATATATATATATATATATATATATATATATATATATATATATATATATATATATATATATATATATTTAGTACATATATATATATTTAATACAAATATCCAACTCACACACATAAACTCTTTTTTTTGTCTTTTGTGGGTGTACAGGTAAAAATGTCAACTTATGGTGCCAGCTCATATGTAACAAAGCATGTCAATTTTCAGGGATCCATTCAAGCCATTATTTTTATAATACTTTTGTTGAGGCTTGCTGATTATAATTGTATTATTTTCTATTTTATAATATCAATGGTCAATTGTACAATAAATTTACATACTTTACTTTTTCTCGAGCCTCATATTCCTCCCCAAAGTACATCAATTGGTAGTATATATATATTTATTAAACTTAATTTTGTTTGTTAAAAAAAAAAAATAAAAAAAAAAACAAGAAGAAAATAATATGAAGGGGAAGTGTTTCTAAATAGATCATTTTGTTATTAACTAATAAGTTATTAAAACTGTGGTTTGATTAATCTCCTTTTTGTTATTTTTTACCAATTCTGTTCTAAAAATGTCAGATAATTTACTTGATAATAAAATAATTATTTCAGTTTTTCTAATACATCGTCAAGTGATATGGAGCTTCTTGGAAGTAAAAAGGCTGACAGAGGAACTTTTTAACTATCTTCTAAGGTAAGGTGATCAGATATACCAACCACTTTTGGCGGGACAATTCCAATTTTTAACTATTTGTTCCATGTCCTGTAGCGTTTTGAAAAAGTTCAGATTATCCGCAAGAATGCACGACAAGCAAGGGAATGGGATGAGAATATATGGTTTTTGGCGGCCATGTAGCTATTTTGCCAGAATATGGGTTTTTGATTTTGTAATGTTAAAAGTTAATAAGAATGAATAATTGTTAAGAACTGATTATCAAACCAAAAATGTTAGCAAAGTTCGCATAGTTGATGAGTTCTTACGATTCAACCACTGTTTGGTTGACCAATTCTTTGGACTTGGTCAACCAAACAACCCGAAAATGATCTTTATAATGAGTTATCGTTATTAAAAAAATATATTGATAAGAAAAGGGTTAAATCTTGGGCATCAGCAAATTAACTTCATTAACTACTTTGATTACCGAAATGTTTTCACCTTCAATAAGTTTATAGCATTTTGAAACAGAGGTGCTTGAATGTTTACAAACTACTGGCACCAAAAATTTGTCTTGCCAACTGTATTGAAGTCATAGATTAGACGTCAAATACATCATCAAATTATTCTTTCTCAAAAATACGCCTTTAAAAATAAATTCTCAACCTTATTTCAGCTGAATACTATGTCACCTTATTAAAATTTGCACCAGACTATCATTATTTAAAATTAAATGTTGTAACAACAAATTTGAACTATCGTTTGGATTTAATGAATGAACTAAATTTTAATTAAGAATCTCTCCCTGCCCTCCGATCAATGGTGTCCCGCTTGCCAACTAATTTTCCCCTCCCTCCTCCCCGAGTCAATGATGTCCTGCTTCACCAATGTTAAGATCTGGTCACCTTATTCTAAGAAGGAAAATACACTGGAGTAAAAATATTAGATGAAGAAAAGAAGCCTTCCAACTGTTACCTCATGTTTGGAGTAGCCATAATGTAGACCAGTTCTAAACCCAATATATATTAGATGAATCATCTTGAAAAATAGAATAAATGATGCCTTCAAACTTTTAGAGTGGGCATTAAGAAATTAAAGTATTTACATTACTGAACGGACAGATTTATTACAGAATAAAATAAAATGACCTTTTTCTGTGATGATTTATGTATTTAAATTTTAGAAGCTAAATTGTTGCTCATTAAGAAATTATTTTTTTATTTCATATTAGTTTTCTTTCTTCATTCCTTTGCTACTTGGTTGTTTTTTTTTTTTTTTTTCATATTTCACTGGGATTTAGAAGTCTTCCAATAAATAATACCTCCTTTTGTGCCAATACAATGAACAAAAATGGATGATCACATTTTATTTCTGTTAGAACAGTAAGAGGAGCTCTACCATATGAATTGAATTCTGAAATAAAAATTAATTTGTTTATATTTAAACTCAGAGAGAATTATATACCTTTTCTATTAGAAAATATTGCTAAATCAATTTTCTACTGTGATTGTCTCACATATACTCAAACTCTTTGAAAACACAATTTTCTTCTTGATCCATAGAGAAAACATTGTTCAGTAAAAAAAAAAAATTAAAAGGATATCTGAAAATAATTACAAAAAAATCTCACCTCTTCAAGGAAAGGGATACACTTATCATATGTGCTCTTCTTTTCCCTTTCCACTTCACTCGTCTGATCAAGGTCATTGCTCTCAAAGCGGACAGTTAGATACAGAATCAATGCTGTCCTTCCTGTCTTGGGAAATGCGACAATATCCACGTATCTTAAAGTGATTTGTTATTCTCTTAAAGTTACTGAGAGTTAACAGAAAATAAGAAACCCGTCCAACTAACTTCTTTAACTAACATCAATGCATTCCTGTTTAAGTTAATTTATTTTAATGCTAACAAAATTTCCCTTTATTATTAACTATAATATCAAAGAGTAAGTTGTAATTGCTATGATTCAACAAACAGGTCTAAGTTTATCAATTTTACTTTTAAGCCTATTATTGATTAAGCAGAAAAAAATTCAATAATTATGATGCCAAAGTTATTAGTTAATATTTTTAATTTTATAAATTTTCTCATTCATTTTTGTTATGTTCTTACTGGGGTTCATCAATACAATAAAACTATGATCGGGGGTAGAGCACTTTATTGCATTTGAAGTATTAACATCAGGTACATCACCTCTAGCTTCCTTGCTTACGCAAGCTACACTAAGTTGGCGTCCTCCCGCCAAAACAGTGTTGCAATAATCCATTTTCCGAACACTTAATAATAGTGGATAGTCCACAACACCCCTCCTTTCTAAGGAGAGAAACAAAAATATACTTATTATTATTACATACAATAATCATATTACATACAATCGTTATTATAAAAAACATTTATATGTACATTTCCCGTATGGACAACCCTTTCCCCTAAAGAAAGTTTATTTTTCGAACTAACACACCAAGATCATTCACTAAAACGAGTATGTGGTCGGGAGATTCTACTTTATGTAGTTACGATGAGTTCCTGAGGTTGACTGGAAGCCGATCCGTGTCTAGGATGTCCATAAATTTCTGTGAACCCGTAAGAGGGGCTCTCACATAATGCCGAATTGTAATCAGCTCCACTTTGTGAATGAGTCAAGTGTTCCTCTTCTTGGGAATCTTCAATCCCTATGCTGTATATTTTCATTCAAAGGAACCGAAGACATGTTTGATCTCTCATTGGGTCTCTCTAGTGTATGGATATTCTGATTGATTGGGGGTCAGTAAAAGAGGTTGGAGATAAGGTGTTTTCTGGAGGTTCTTTGGAATAACATCTTCAGATATAGTCAGTGGAAACATGTTTAACAACTTCACCTGAGCACAATTTCACATCAAAAATGTGTGCACCAGGATTTTGTAAATAATACCTGCAACCCAATATTTCTTGTTGAGACTCTGCTTGAGTATCCATACAGTTTCACCAATCGTGAACTTTGGATCCACAGTAATGGTCATAGGTCTAGGATCTAATGCTGGATGAAGATGCGACAGATGTGTATTAAATTATCAGCCCATTAATTCAGCTGGTGTCTTTCCAGTGGTACTTGATGGATGAGTTTTCATGGCCCAAAACGTGAGTGTGACACAGACATGAATGTCAGTGTCCTGATATTTCAATAGTTATTTTCTAACAGTTTGGACTGTTCTCTCGGCCAGGCCATTGGAAGAAGGATGCTATGTAGGAGTGAAGAGGTGGCGGATTCCATTTACTTTTACAAATGATTGGAACTGGTCTGAAGTGAAATGACGTCCATTGTTTGTAACAATAATGGATGGAATGCCGAAATCTGCTAAGATATATCGCATGTGATTAATCAAAATCGATGTAGTTAAATTAGAAATAACCTTTACTATAGGACTATGAATCTATTTATTCGTTAACATTCATTTATTCGTTAACATTCATGTATTTATTTTCTTTATCTGTTAACCCACAGTTATCTAATGTAATCTCTATTAGTTTGTTATACACTTAGTCCTTATCGTGTACTCCCGCCAAGACAGTGTTGCCATAATCCACTTTCCAAACACATATAATAGTGGATAGTCCACTACAATTTTCTTTACAAAACTTTTTATTATTTGTTGTTCCTATTTTTTAAAAAATATAAAAATCAAATTTGTTTCAATACCTTTGAAAATATTTTAATGCAGTAATAATAAAACAAATATTAAGTTTTCGTTTACAAAAAAAAAAAATAGGTTCAAAGTGACAATGAATTTACAGCAGCATAATTTATATTGATTTATAGGTTTTATTTCATATTAAGATATTACAGAAGAGTTCAAAACAAAAAATTATTATTATCATTAGCTGGTTAAATACTGTGTAGGAGCTAAAATGAGCCGTAAGAGGTTGAGGAGCCCCATTGTTAGAAATAAATATTATTAGCTGGTCAAAGCCTGTCCCAGCATTAATCCTATTGTTGCCTGATTTTTTATTGCTGTCTAACAGTTTCTAAAACCAATTAAGAGACCTTATGTCAGTTGCCATCCCATCCTCCCAGGGAAGCTTCTGTTCCAACTTGTCTTTGTAGTTTAAAAATTCTGACAGAATTTTATGTGGGATTTCATTTGGTTACAGTTTTTTCTATAAAAAATTTTATTAAATTTATGTAATACAGCATATGTAGGTGGCAGCCCCATTGCTCAGCTGCAACACTGCAGATAACCACTGCCCTTCCAGATGGAGGAACAGTACCATGAATCTTACAAAAACATACTAATTAGCACATTATCCTCACCCGCACACTACACACCAAGTTCATTCACAGTACTCATTTTATTTTGAATCAGACCTGGGGAAGTGGAAATTTATTTTGTGGTGGGCCCTTTCTGGATGGTTAGAATAGGTTTGATTGTACCTTTTAAACAACCCACCTATAAGCAAGAACAAAAAATATTAAACATTACAACAACTTTACCTGTTTCTTCACAAATATTGATCCCTGCTTCCTGTACTTCGAATAACACTTTATGAATAACACAGCTAATTGTAAGTGATTGTGATGTTGAAATTCCCGAAAAGTTTGCTTTATCGGTGAAAGCAGTAGGCATACCAATCTAGAAAAAACTCAAAAAAAAAAAAATTATATTAAGCTACCATAATATTACTACTTTTTAGTTTTAGAACTTTTTAGTTTTAGAACTTTTTAGTTTGTGGGGTGTGGTCAGTATATAAAATGCTATAATTATATAATAGTATGTTTATTGCATTAACCAAAGTTTCGACCAGATCGCCATACTGCTTCCTGTGTGTCCTGTGTTGTTAGTGTCGTATGGAATGCCCTGAAGAAGACTTATAACCTAGGTCGAAACATTGGAAAATGCAATAAACATATTATATAATATAGTATTTTATATATTGAGCACATCCCCAACAAACTTCTTCTTATATTAGAATCTATGATCAACCATCTCCATACCATTACTATTTTCTAAATTATTTTAACCCTTAATCAAATTTAAAAAATGGACATGTATAGATCAAATGAATTATCTATTAAGTAATAATGTTGACTATAGGTCAAGAAATAAAAAAAATACACATTCCATTATTAGTTAAAATCGGTTTCTAATTAGTAGAGATCAGATTTATCAGTAAAATAAAAAGCTATATATGTAAATATATATGTAATTATATTTTCACAATTATGGCAAAAAATTATGCGTAAATTAAAAATTAAAACTATGTAATAATTTAAGGGACCAGCTTAAATGTAAAATAATAATTAAAATTTGTGTAAATAGTTAAGTATTTAGTTTTTAATAATTAATGAGAATAAAGAAAAATATATCTCTCTACAATATAAAAAATCTTGTGCGCGCAACACACAACTTTCACTTACCGATCTACTATGAATAGAAATTATTTTCTGGCAATGCTGGGCTATTATAAATTTTTTTGAAGTGCATTTTAAACGGAGCTAAAGCTTAAAGCTTACAGATAACAAGTCATTAAGACCATTATAATTACAAAATGTCTATTTAATATATTGACGACAGGCAATAAAAATCTAGTCACTCCATCTGCTTTTATAAACCACACAACTTTCTTTGCTTTTATGAACCTCAGAATGACAATCTCCAATTTCAACATTTTTGAGTGATGTCATTTTAGTGATATTTTTAGTTGAAAAAGTTATCTATACAGAATATGAGTAAGTTTATTCCGGAGGTGCTGATTGTAGTGTTGAAATATAGAACTGAGAATGAAGGTATAAATTTAGGTACTTATTTCTTATGAAAGATGCTCTTAGGAAAGATACATTATTAAATATCTGTAGAAAAAAGTTTTTTTTAGTCCCAACAATTAAAAAAATGTATATTTTAAATTTCAGGGAAAAGAAACTAGACGCCATATCTTTCCTCCTAATTGTCCGATCTTAACGATTTTTTTTTTTTTTTTTTTAGGAAATTCCATAAACTTTTAAAAAATCATACAATATCACCAAAAAAGTGTATACTTTTTGAGTTATTCGGAATTTAATTTTCCCATCCCTCGTAACTTTTTTTCCAGCTTCTTTTTGTTAAATTATGTTATATAAATAAATTTAAAGGGTGTCAAGAAAATGACTTTAGCGAAGTTTCATTGAAATTGGTACATTCGTTTAGGCACTGCAGTCTAAAGAGAAGCAGGTTTTTCTGCATTTTTCTCCTTTATTAACTTATCAAATTCTTTCAAAAGTTATATTTAGCATTTTTTCGTAACTCTGAATAATGTGAAATGATTAAGTTTTTAAAATAAACCATATTAAAGATACTTTAGAGGAAGACCTATATGAACATTGGGCATTTAAGCACTGTAAAGTGACATCGATGGGGATAAGACCTAATTGATATTCAAGACCACTTAATTATACAATGATACGCTGAGTTTAATCAAAATCATTAGAGCCATTTTTGAGAAAATTGTAAAAATATGTTTCAGTGTTGATATAAAGTGGCACTTCTGGTTTGCCGATTTTAAGGAAAAAGTTGCTGTTACATCTAAGGTATATACCTATCTTAAATACATAATATCAATTTCCTATGACTTTTAGTTTTTGAGCTAGACTGCTAACATACACACACACAGACCATTTTTCAGGACTTGGTCATTTCGACTCAGGGTACCTCAAAACGTGAATTTCTATTGAAAAATCAGATTCAAAAATTTTCACGATCGCCTCAGACACTGCGACGCAAACTTGTGACTATTTTTTGTCAATTTGTCTTATATATCAGGTTGCCATACAACGGCCCTGCTGTGGACACACATTAGCCTGTTCGGCCACCTCACCCACCTGCCAAACAAGAACTGCTTGCCATAACAAAAATCCTTTTTCCCTTTTCACTTCGAGATTTTCTTTTTTGGAGAAACTACAGAGCAGCCATTTTCTTTCCCCTGAACTAATGAAACTATTTTTCAAATTTAAACATTCCCTGACATTAGCAGAACTAGATTAGTTTGCCTTTTAACTGTTTATGATTTATTTACTAAACCATTTTCACCAACTTCCAATAAAGGTGTACATTAAAATATATATATATATATATATCACTCTGAATCATTTCACACCTGTATTTCAATCAAAACTTTGAAAGATGCTTTCTACTTTCCTACTCTGAAAAACATTTTTGTCTGATCGACAACTAAACAGATACAGAATTAAATGAGTATTTTTTTTTAAATTCCATACTACTAGAAAATTTACTTACTGCAGGTAGAAATAATCTAAATAAACCACCAGTTAATAGTTCAAATATCCCTAAATTCAATGACCACAGTACAAAGAAATATAAATATTCATCTTTAAATACTAAGCCATAATTAAAGCCAATAGGTATTAAACTAACATTAGTTGATTTGAATACACTTCGTAAATCCAATACTTAGCACTTGTTTATTCCAAAGATCCAAAAATTGTCAGTATCTAAAATTATTAAAACTAAGATGAGTGAAGTTTAATCCATAAATATTCTGTTTAATGATGGAAAGACATCATACTGAAGTTTAAATGGCACCAGCAAGTGGATGTTGGAGTGGGCAAGTGGAGTTGGCGTCTTCCATATAGTGGTTTTTCGGGCTTTAGACTAATTCAGAGAAATCAGAAGTACCAACAGGAAAGATGTTTGTCGATCTCATTCAACACCAAGGGATGACAGAGATATTGATGTTACTACAAGACGCAAACGAACATGAAGTGGGTGGATGGTGTGACTTAGGATGCAAGGACTGGAGGACTGCTGCACAGGATAGAGCCAACTGGTAGAAGCTACTTGAGCCCGGACTCGGTGGTGAGTTGTTGCACCGTTGTGTGTTTGTGTGTGTGTGCAAGAAGCAACCCTTTTTCCTGCAAGTTAGTCTAACATCTTATTCCTCTCAAAGACTACCTGAAACATTAGTGCATCACCAGGAACTCTGTAGATAATGGTGTAGCGAGCACTTAGATGAGGATACAAATTGGAATGTTGAATGGAATTCTATTTGAGCCGTTCCCCTGTCCTCCCCACCTATATTAGCAAAAATTAGAACTTTATGTCCATCATAAATGGACAGTTATCATTCAGACTCCTTCAAAGCTTTCATTATTATCAGAAAATAATGATATAATACCTTGGAAAGAATGTCATTCATCTCTATAGTTTGTTCCAGTTTAAATTTAGGGAGATATAGATTGACTTTTGAAAGCCAGAGTTCAGAAAGTTCTTGAGCTAGATCTACAGAGCCGAGTTTAGATTCAATATCTTCTAAGCCATCAGATTTTTTCGGAAGAATTATGACCATACTCAATTTACTTTCCTGCAATAAAAAAAATATATATACATATATTAATGATCTTTATTAATGAAATTTAAATTAAAAAATGTAAGTTAAGAGTTAAATATATTATGAAGGAGAGGAGCCAACTCCCACTCTTCTATCAAGGACCAGAATAATAGTAATTTATTTTAATTCACTTATCATAAAATTCGTTCCAGTTCTCGTTCTGTTTCATCTTCGTTCTGAACAACACTTGAACCGAGATAGAGAATAATAAAGTAAATATGCATGATATAAAAATTATTTAAAACAACAGAAAAATCATCGAGGCAGAAGAAAATGGAGAGAAATACAGAACTTTGAAGAAAAATAATTTTAAAAATAAAGTTTTAGGAGCATTGATGAGAGCCCGAGAGCAACCTTCTTCAAAAGGGACACTTGAATCAAAGGCAATGACTGCATTAAACAGGTACTTAGAAGAGGATATTTTGAACAACAAGAAGGATCATGTTAAGTGGTGATTTGGTCTGCAGAGCAACTATCCTAATTTGTACATTATTGCTAGAGAAATGTTGAGTATAGTCGCCATTTCGATTCCATGTAAAAAAAATTTTTAAAATCTAGCATGTTGATTAATGAATGTCGGACTCGACCATCAGCTGATAAAGTAAAAAAACTGTTGTTCTTAAATTACAATTTTTAAATTAATTTAATTATGGCTTAGCCGTTTTAGTTTTTTAATTCATTCCAAGTCTTATATTATAAATGCATTTGTATTTATTTTTATTTATTTAAATGTAGTTCTACAATAAAACTATTTGTGATTAGTAAAATTCATATATTTGTCTTGTTAATTTTCCATAAAATTCTCTTACCTCATATTACAGAAAAATATTAATGAATAAAATATATTTCTGTTTTATATTTTAATTTTTCCTTATATACACAATGTAATTATTTTAAGCCTTACTAATTTTAACTAGAAGTATTTTAACATAAGTATACACATTAATCTTTATCATAATTATTTCCAACAGAGGCTAGAATGAAATCTCAGATTGGAATGAAAACAGACAGAAATGAAACTGCTTTTAGGAACGAAATTCCGAATCATTCCAATGATGCAAACCAAGGCTGCCTGGGAAAAAGACCAACCATTCCATTCTGGACCATTCCAAAGTGTTCTAGAGATGAAATTCAAGGCCACCTTGGAACGAGACCAACCATTCCAGTTTGAACCATTCTGAACAGTTCCAGAGGTGGAATGGTTTTCTCGAACTGGTTCAACACATTCTCATTCCAACTAACAAGATTGCTTGTTCTGTTTCTTCTTCATTCAGCCGTTTCAATGTCACTTAAAAATAAAGTAATAATAATAAAAAAAAGTCTACATTTAATAAAAATGAATATTTTTTTCATTCAAAAACTGTTAAACAATATTGATATCTCCCATGGCTCGTATAGATAATTAAAAAAAGTAAAATAAAATAAAATACGAAGTCTGAGGTTTTTTAATTCCAAATAGTCTGTGAAAAAACTAATGATCTAAAATTTCCTTTGACAAATTTCACTTGCACAACAGAATCACATGTTTATCAATATTAATAACAAAATAATTATTATAATATTATTTATAATTAATTTTAATAGTTTATCTGAATCTGGTTATTTTAATTAACATTTTTAAAATTTGCAAATTGCTATAGTAAATTCATGGTTTAGATTTTATTATATTTTGATCTTAATGGATTTCTTTATATTTAATCACATACTAAATTAAAGTTAATTTTTATGGGTCACTTTTGAAGCAAACAACCAATTTGATTAATCCGCTAATCCACTTCAATGGCAATCTCCTATAGCATACTCATCTTAATTACTGTAAATCCCTTTTGTGTCTATTTGACTTTGCTGGCGAATATTTAGCCACTGAAACCTAAAGACGTTTCAGATCTTAGATTACATTCCAGCAAAACAAAGTTTACTAAGTTTCATTCTGCACCGTTCCGATGGTGGAATTCGTTCTGCAAACCGTTCTGCCCAGAACAGCCCTTCTCTACTCATCACCTATTTATTCATTGACTTTGGATGTTTATGTGGTAGCATCAAGCACTATCAGGTGTATGAGGTAATAGAGAAATTTTGAATTCTTTTAAAGTTAATCCAAGTGGTTCAATCAAATGATGGGTCCAGGATGTAAAGCATTGAATTCATAAACAGTGAACATAGATTAATGTTCACTATGTTCTTCTTGTAATGAAGTGTGATATACTTTACCTTGTCTTAGTCTATAAAATAATCAATATAGCCATAAAGCAGGCAATTAGAAACTGAAGACACAAGAATAACTGAGTAAATGTTTTTGAGATTGATCTAATTGGTTTTTTTTTTTCTTTTTTTTTTCTAACCTATCTAACTGTTTTATATACTGATGATTTATATGTGTAATTTATGATGGACCTTAATGGGAATGAAAATAAGTTAAAATATATGTTAAATAGAGTTAGCAAAAGACTCCTCAATCAAATAGTGATATGCAATAGTACATTTAAAAAGTCACTAAACTGAACTATCCCAGAACACACCTAGTAAAACATTTACAAAATAAAGTGAATGGTTTCAGTCCCTAACAGATGTCACTTAAGCGTGTTAAAGCAGATTAATTTAGGCATACTATGATATGCCTTTATAAACTCTTAGATAGCCAATTTAAATGTATGAACGTGTAAAATTACCGCACGAACATCCAACTCCTGTTTATTCCCACCCTACTGCTCATATTTACTCTCCTTCCCAAGTTCCAAGGGTACATCCTTCATCAGACACTCCTTATCATAAGATCTTTCCCTCACGAACTCCTAATCAAAACCAACCTGACCAACAAAACCCGATCGATTTAATAAACTCCACCCTTGCGTCCTTCCTGAAAGATCTCCAAGAGTCTATCAAGCCACTAATTACCCTCCTCACAGGAATCCTTACCGAAATTCCCTTCAATCTCTCACGATGAGCACTAAGCCCCTAGCTGTTCTTTTATGGAATGCTAACGGACTACACAACCACCGAGACGAACTCGACATTTTTCTTCATGACTATCACATTGATATTGCTCTACTGACAGAAACTCACTTCACTCGACGTTCATATTTCTACATACGTGACTATATCACTTATAGATCAGACCACCCCGACAACACTTCCCATGCCGGTTCTTGCATCCTTATCCATAAATCCTTATCCCATTCTCTCATTCCTTCTACTCCAACGGAGGCTATTCAAGCAACCTCGGTTATCATTTCAACTCGTCCTTTCCATTTAACATTCTCAGCTGTATACTGTCCTCCCGGTCATACTCTTACCTATAACTTACTTGAATCCTTATTTCAATCCTTCGGATCGCGCTTTATTGCTGGAGGAGACTACAATGCTAAACACCAACGATGGGGTTGTCGATCATCCAACTCCCGTGGTAACATACTATCTTCTGTCTCAACTTCCAATAGTTACTCTGTCCTCTCTCCTATGAATCCTACCTATTGGCCAACATCCCTCAAAAAACGCCCTGATATCCTCGACATATTTGTCACCTCCCAAATTTCCTCTTCCCATGTCACAATAAAATCCCTGGATGACCTCTCCTCAGATCATTCTCCAGTTCTGCTTTCATTACACACAACCTTCGCTCCTAAGCCCTCGTCCTCTCCTACACTGATTACAGGACGAGTAAACTGGGACAATTTTCGTAAAGGCCTGGAAAATAAATTGGACCTAAATATTCCACTTAAGACGAAACGTGATATTGACACAGCCATAAAAGAACTCACTACATCTATAAGTGACAAAATAAAGAATAATACATCTACCAATAAAACTGACAACTCCCAACAGACAAATTTGCCGCAGCATATTCGTATCTTATTAAGGGAAAAACGCAGAGCAAGATCGAAGTGGCACAGGACTAGATATCCATCAGATAAGACATATTACAACAAATTAACTAACCAACTAAAAGCTGAAATTAGAAAATACAAAGTTCAAAATTTACATAACATGACAGAAAAACTTACTACTTGTGACAAATCACTATGGTTGACCACTAAAAAACTCCTTAAATTCAAAGATTTTAACCACCCACTTATTACTGAAACCCAAACCTGGTCCAGATCTGATGATGAAAAATCTCAAATATTTGCTCAACACCTCTCAAAAACATTTAATCCACACCCAGACATCCTTAATCCAACCCACCTTGAGTTTATTGAAGCAGAATTGGATACCCCACTCCAATTGACTCCTCCACCTAAAGCATTTCATCCTTCAGAAATATCCAATATCATTAATAGATTACCTTCTCGCAAAGCTCCTGGCCATGACCTAATCACCTCCCAGATCCTAAAATGTCTTCCTAAAAAAGCCATATTGTTCCTAACCTATATATTTAATGCCGTACTCCGCACCACATATTTTCCTGACTCTTGGAAACTATCCATTGTCAAAATGATACCTAAACCCACAAACCCGCCAGAACACCCATCCTCTTACCGTCCTATCTCCCTTTTGCCCATTATGGGCAAAATCCTGGAAAAAACTCATTTTAAAACGCCTGTATCCCATCCTAGACTCTAAACACATTATCCCAGATCACCAATTTGGATTCCGCACATCCCACTCCACTATTCAGCAATGCCATCGTGTGGTAGATGTAGTCTCCTCTGCATTGGAGCGCGGAATGTACTGCACGGGAGTCTTTCTCGACGTTGAACAGGCGTTTGATAGAGTCTGGCATCCGGGACTGATGTACAAACTCCGTGAATTCCTACCACCTACATACTTCCTCATTATACGTTCCTACCTTACTGACAGATACTTCAAAGTCAATCATAACAATGCTTATTCATCTCTTTTTACTCAGTCTGCCGGTGTTCCTCAAGGTAGTATCCTAGGTCCTATCCTTTACACAGTTTATACAGCTGACATCCCAACCCAATCCAACCCTGTCATCACCACCTATGCCGATGACACGTGTATCCTATCAGTTAATAACGATCCTTTAATTGCATCCCAAACTCTTCAATCACATATCACAAGCCTTGAAGAATGGTGTAAAAATTGGAGAATAAAAATAAATTCCAACAAATCCCATCAAATCACTTTTACCCTCCGTCGTAAACCTATGACCTCTTGTCCTACAGTATCCTTCAATAATACTCCACTTATTCCTGTTGAGCAAATCCGCTACTTAGGACTCCACCTTGACAAACAACTCACTTGGAACCCCCATACCAGACTGAAACGACTAGAAACCGCCCGACGTTTTCGACTACTGCAGCACTTACTAGACAAACGATCTAAGCTTTCAATCAATTATAAACGACTCGTATATATGACAATAATAAGACCTATTTGGACTTACGGAATTGAGCTTTGGGGCTCCACTAAACCATCGAATTCCTCTCGTATCCAATCCTTACAATCCAAAATCCTTCGTAAAATCCTCAACGCTCCTTACTTTGTCACAAATAAAATCATCCATAAAGACCTTAATGTTCCATATGTTTCCGATCTGGCCCAATCCAGATACCTTTCCTTCCATAACAAACTGCAGAATCATCCGAATCCTCTCGTTTCAAACCTTGCTTCATCCTCGATCCCTGATAATCCTCCGAGGCGTCTGAAAAGAAGATGGCCTCGGGATCTTCTAATATAGAACTTTAATTTGAGTTCTACCAATGGGTAGTTTCTCTTCATGTTGTACATGCCATGTTACAAATTTCTCATTTACTTATTGTATTCTCTATGTAATACAGTTGTAAATTCCATTGAAATAAAAAAAAAAAAAAAAAAAAAATGTATGAATAAAAGATCTGGATCCTTATTAAAGAACAACAAAAAGTACTCCTAGTAACATAAGCTCATTGAGATTCCAGATCCCATCACTCAATGTAGCAAAAAATAAAATAATAATTATTAAAAAAATTGTGAGCAATCAAATATTCTTAAAAAGTACTAAAATAAGATATAAAAACTTACAGCAAAAGGCATTTCAATTATTTGAGCACCTAATTTTCTGCTTTTCATTGTACAGAACCTTTTTTCCCTCAGAATCATCATTTCAGCACCAACAATCAAGTTTGGTTTAACATAGAAAGGCATCGTTAGTGTTTCACTTTTTAGAAACTTATATTTAGAATGAGGCTTAAAAATCACACTGCTCACTAAAACTAATGAAGTAACTTTACTTATTGACTCTACAAATGATATGTAAATGACAGAAGAGTTATAGTTTAAAATATATATATATATATATATATATATATATATATGTTTAATATATATATGAGCTGTAGAAGTAACTTAAAAATATTAAAATATAAATAGAACTACAAAGATAATGGACTAGAAAAAAATTACCAAACGGAAACAATCCATTTATTTCTTGTTTTGAACATTTTACAACCCAGTCATTAATTTCTTCAACAGATTTTGCTTGATTTTTTAAATCTATACTATGTATGTCAGACAAAAGAAATTCGTTCACAAAACTTTGAAAATCAGGAGATATGCAATAAGTGTTTTCAATAAAAATTTGAGTTGTTATTGTTAAAAGATGTTTCTGAAATAAAGAAATATTTTGTTTAAAATATATTAAACTTACTTAGCTTACTTTACACTGAGGTGTTATTTTTTTTTTTTTTTAACAATTGTATAATCCAAGATTTGTTGAAATGAAAAGTTTATTTTTATTAAATCTAATAATAAGAAAATTGTATATAGCTCACATGTGCAGCTAGTAACAATAAAAAATTTTGTTGTTCGACTCATTCAGCATACATTCGGTTTATAAAGTAACTTAATATGTAATACTAAGTAAGAATTCACAACTACCAAAAATATCTCATCAATAAGAAAGAAATTAATGATCTCCAAAAATTCAAACATCATTAATTCCATATCATTACATCAATATTATAAAAGTCCTTAATGATTGACATCAAACATTATTTTGTTGTTAGATTCAATAATTCAATGGGAGTGGGCTAGCTAAGTGGATGAGCACTTACTCCCAGAGCTCAAGTCCCCAGGTTCGAATTCGGCTGATGACTACTAATTTTTCATCAGCCGTGAGATGACTCTGGGGCCAGGAGACCCTCCTCGGGCAAACAAACCCAGCCTCTATAAAGTGGGTACCATTAATTAAACAATTAATTAAGGGGAAAGCCGTAGCGGATAAGTGTAATATTGCCCCCATCATCTCCTTGCACAACCATTCGTCTTGTAGCAGTACTTCGTCACATTGTACTGAACCCAAGACCCTTCATGAGTTGTTAATGGTACAGGATTTTCAACAATTCATTAATGATTTTTAGAACCATTACCACAAAGAAACATTTGATCATAATTTGTTTTTTAAATGATCAAAAATCTTAAACAAACAAATTCAACCTCTAAATTTCATCTTCTATTTTGTTTGGAGAAATTTTTGATGAATTTGGAAATTCTATAAACTTAATCACTTAAATATCCCCACAACCATTAAAGTTATTAAAAAAAAGTATAGAATAATTTATTTTTTAAAGAGAGGGTTCTTCATAAGTTTCCCTCAGCCAAACTCCTCCCTCAGTCGGTTCCTTCACGTCTCCCTTGGGAGAAATAGGATAATTTTAATAGAGATTTTATAGAACTTTAATTTTGCATAGATTAATCTTTTTGAAAAATCTTCAACAAGTTTCTTCTTTTTTTTTCTTTGGATGTTCAGGCCAATAAATAATTTTATTGCAATATAACAGGATCGTGACAAAATCATAAATTTCTTTTGAGTACAATAAAAGCACTGAGGGGACATAAATGTAAAGAATTTAGGAATAATGAATAGTAGCAAGATGAAATGGTCACAGATGATAAAGGCAATCTGGTATTATAGAAAACATGATTAAATGAAATTTAGAAATTTTGAATCTCATGAACAATCAAAATGGACAGTTTAATCAAACAATCAATCACTAGGATGGAGACAGGGAAAGCTCCAACACATTATAGTTAAAGAATTTGTAAAGTATAGAGGCATAGAACCAGTAAGGTCTCTTCAAATGCTTTGTCATAAAGCCTGGGAGGAAAAGAGAATACCAAAAGAATGAGAATACACAGAGAAGCCAGACTGAAAGTTCTAATTATAGATCCATAGACCTCTCATCATTTGTCTATTAACTATTTACATCCATTTATATTAATATTTACTTCAATTATAGAAAGTAGGTTAAGACCTATAGCCAAAACGGACAGTTGTGGACAGAATAGAAAGCAGAGTCACAACTGCAAAAACGAATTTGTGGAGGATTGTGGAAAAAACAAGAAGAGATCACATTCATAATAATACGAGAAGACATTGCATCCACAATGAGATGATCAAGGAAGAGTACAAGATCACAGAAATGAAGGAGATTCCACCAAATAAAATGTACTGATAATGGATAACAACAGATTACCCATTGAAAAAAAATGGACTACGTCCATGATGTCAGAAAGCTATGAGGATGCTCAAGATTGTCATTTTTAGAATATATAAAATATTTGTGCAAGAGAAGAGGCAATAACATTTGCCAGGCCAGGAACCTAGTGACCAGAGAAGAGAGGCTAAATACTTCCCTATGGAACTTCAAAAGGAAAGGGTGAAGTAAAAGAAGAAGAAACATTTTTATTTTACATTCAATTAAGTATAACCACTAAAAATACTGGTGGTAGTGAAGTGAATTTTAAAGGTGTGATTTTAATTTAACTACATGTTCAGGGGTCCCTGACAATAACATTCATTTCCTAAGGATCTATGACTAGCATTTGGGAACCACCAGCTTAGGTATCAGACATTAATGCACCAATTCTCTATATACCTGATACCAGGCTAGTAATGAATACTAAACTGGCACAAAGCTAATTTTGATAAAGAATTTGATATATTTTTATTTTTTAATTCTTTATTATTTTCTTAAAAGTGTATACTGGTCTATCAGTGCAAATAGCTTTAAGTGCTTTGTCATAGTGTTAATTGTTTTGTATATAGTTTCGTTTGTTTTGTATATAGAATATTTACCTTATATTTTCTTTACATTATTTATTTTTTTTGATTGATTTTATTTTGGCCACATGTAATCTTTTAATTTTGTTCTATTTTGTTATTCTCAAGAACTGTGTCACAGAATAAAGTTATTTTCTATCTATCTATCTATCTAATAATAGAAAATCAAAAAAATTAAATTAAATATAAATATATGATTGTAACAAGATATATCAATAAATTTATTCTTGAGTAATTGTAAAAGTTCTTAATATTTATAAATGAGAAGCAAAAAAAAAAAAAATAAATAAAAAGTAGTAATAATAATTACTATATACTGACAACGCTGTAGATCAAATTGATAATGGACTTTTTTCTTTTTTAGTGCATATTATAAGTACATTAACTAATATTTCAAAATTTATTTTTATCACTTACTTACCTCGAAATTAGGAATCAGAGATTGATAGTCAGCAAAATACTTTTTATGTTCAGGAAAATCTAGAACTTCAGCTATTTCGCCTGCTGTGACTCCTCTCGCACCATGTAACACTGTAGTTAATATAATCTTTAGACCAGCTGGAGACATAATGATGTTTTGAGTACTTGATTTGCTGAGAGCCTTTGAGGGTAAATGGTAATAACAATGTGCACTTTAAAATAATAATAATAATTTAGATTAGTTCACAAGTATCACATCTGGTTGATGTTGAGTCAAGATCACATTTGTCATACTATAGATGGAAATCTGTAAGTAGCCAAATGTTGACAACTATGTTCATGATTGGATTCACTATGGTTTAAATATGGTATAAACAAACCACCAATGGCTCTTTTTCAGTAGAAGGTCGGTATTTTACCATGCATGGTTCATCATCAAATACCTTCCATGTCAGATTTGAAAGGAAGGATCTGTCACTTGTGTTAACTTATGGACACATTTGGCTAAATTTGGTATCTGAAACTTCCAATCAACTAGGCATGACACTTGTGTACAATATCCAACTATTTTTAATTTACATAATTAGAATAAATTAAGTAAATGAATATATTTCAAAACATCTAATACAAAGTATCCTTAACATCATATGTTTATTTTGAATGGATTCACAATATTTTGAATATATGAGGAGTTGGTCGAGGGGGGGGGAAGAGGGGAAGGTCAAATAAATACTATATTATTAAAATATTCAAATATAAAATATTAAAAAAGTATTTTATTCATTACACCAAAATAATAATATAGTATTTATTTTATTTTAATATATTATATATTTATTTATTTTAATAATATAGTATTTATTTGATCGCACCTCCCGACCAGCTCCTCCTCATATTATAATCATGGTCAACCATCTGTACACTATTTTGACTATAGTTTTCAACGAATTTATTAGCACTTTCCTGTTTTAGTGAAGATTAGATATTGGAAAAATCATAAATAAAATGGAAATTCTTCTAAATCATTTAATTTAACTCAGAAAATGTTTTACAAACTATTTCAGATGGGAAATAATAAAGCTAGATTAATTTACCTGATACAGATCAACAGCAAATTTATTTCTTAATTCATGCCATTTCGCATCCATCTGTAATATTCAAAAAGTAATTTTAATCAACAATTTAGGATCCCTTATAAATAACGATTTCTATATTATTTCATTTATTACGTGTTAGTTTCCATTTGAATTATTTATATCTTGAGTCTAGGGCTAAACTGTTCAATACATTATGATATAAAACATCATTTTGACTGCTAGTGATGTACAAATGCTTGTCATTATCATATATTCATGTATTTCAATAGAAGTGAAAAATTCAATAAACAATATGAACAGAATTTAAAATATTAATTTCATTTTATTATTTAAGAATAATATATGGAATTGACCAACATTTATTGTGCTCATGGTGAGACATTAACTTTGATATCAAAATCACTTAATTCTGGATTCAAGCAATAGTTCCATTAATAACACTCATTAAATGAAAAATGGAATGACAATATAGACGCCTATGACTTTACTTGTAGAGACATTCTGAACCTAAGTTTTAAGAACATTAGAGTAAATGATCATTAAACATTTGAATTGAAACTAACACATTTTTTCAAGTTAATTGTTTTGAGAGAAAAAAAGTAGTTTAATTTTCAAGTTTGATTAAAAACATTTTGTTTAAACAAGATAATATGTTATATTAATGAATATTTCAGAATATCAGATGAAGGATGCACTATGACAACAGCTTGTTTAACAAAAGTTGTAGTTGTATAATAAGTAAGATAGTATTCCTCAGATTGTACACATTCACAACATATTATTTATAATATTTGGTGTAAATGCTTTGCTAGCCAAAATATAATAAAGTATGATTTAAAAAATATTTAAATAATCTAATAACTTCACTGAAAAAAATATTAAAAATGAAACGGTGCTGTTTACTTTTAAAGTCCAGAAATTTCTTATTTACGATCAGATTACTAGAACTGTTTGGATTGCTTCATATAATCTAACTTAGGCGAAAATGTGGTTAAAACATTGACAAGTATCTTTAGTAAGTAATATTCATCATATGCAACTAAGAAGTAAAAATTAATAGAATTTTAATTATTAAATGTTTATATAGATATCAATATTTCTATCTTCGAGTTTTTAATAAAAACAAATTATTTGTTACCTTTTTTAGTGGTCAGGATGAGGTCAGGATTTACACACCTTGTCATTAAAAAACAAAACCTTCCCCAATTTTTGTACAATAGCTTAATTATGAATATGTAATCATCCATTTGTAATTTTCAAAAAGAAGTTTTTACATTTTTTTTTTGTTATTATTTATCGCAAATTCAAATTTTAATAAACAACTAATAATTACAGCAATTAAATAGATTAAAGTTTTAAAATTGTATACAATGTTATACTTTTTAAGCAAATAATATTTCTCTTTTAGTTTTCATTATTTATTTATCAAGTATGAAAGAATAATTAAATGGTCATCATAACTTTTTTCCTGATAAAAATTGAATTTTAAATTATCTACTAACTTAGTTTGTATTTAAGTGTGATATATGAAAATAGAATATTGAGGTACCATAAAACTAACTAGGAGTAAATAAATTTTATAATATTATTTAACTTGAATTTTCTTATAATTATAACTCCGTAAAGTACATTAAACTATTTTTTTCAAATAAAAAAAAATTACAATAGAAAAAACTTGTCATTAATCATCGTAAATTCGTCTAATACTTCGAAGCGGAGAATAAAACCAAACTTGAAAATAATTTTTTAAATTTTAAATATTTTTTTCGAGTGACGACCTAAATATCGTCGGTTTGTAACAAAAATATGATATCATAAACATTTTTATTTTTTATGTATAGAAGAAACGAGATTCCATTGCTGTGATTCTGATGCTTAAGGGACGATCAAATGTATTCAGAAACTAAAGTATCTCACTGAATGAGATTGAAAATACGGCACATCGCTCAGAATAAAATTAAATTGATGATTATCCATCGATGTAACTGAATCCACTGGTACCACTGGTTCACAATCATAAAAAAAACTTATTACCAGAAATCGGCAAGAACTACTTCGAGTGTTGATTATTTCATTCAAATATTGGCTCTGTCTGAGTACCGAGGAGCTTAATTAACACTTCAGTTGGTAATTAACGGTCAACTGAAATAACGGTTAAACTTCAATTATCGATTTAACTTTAAAAAAAAAGTATTCGGTACTCATAGTAGCTTTTACCAATCTCTGCTCACTTCATGCCTCCAAGAACATCTGCGAGACTGCTCCACCTTCCACAAAAGCTTTTCTAAAGGCATTAAACCAAACTGGCCGAATGAAATAAAACCAAGTTTGGTAAAGCCGGTTATGGGACCACTTCCTGAAGATATTTTTAAAATTCATAAATTTATCTTATCTTTATGATGGCTGTGAATATATTAAACGTTAATATGGAATATTTTAAGCCTTATATTTCCAAATGCACATAAAGTATATGTTTTATCAAGCTTATAATTTTAAGATGAAGTTGAGCCCAATATGGAAATATCATCAAGTAAATGCGTTCTGGTACTTTTTCAGTAAAAGTATTTAATCTTTCGAAAGTAATTTTTTTAGAATTAATTAATTAATAAATAAAACAAAAAAAATACATCATTACTATCATAATTTAGTTATTTCAAATAAAAAATTAGGAGTACTTGTTCTGGAAGACAGAATTAATGGACGAAAAATTATGAGCAGGTTAAGTAAAAAAATACTTGTTTCTGTTGTTTTCGATATTGATTTCGAAATACATTATCGAAAATACTATAATATGCTGTTAGTAGTCACATTGTTTACTACTATTGGATGGAGGAGGATGAATCAAGCTAACCTTTCCTCGAAAAAACTTCTAATCTCAACTTTGTGTTCAGCCACGGGCGGATCTACGGGGGGAGGGGGCTTTAGGGCTGAAGCCCCCCCCCCAAAATCGAAAAATATAACCATGTTTTATGGGAAAAAAAATTTAAAAAATACCTCTTAAAGTATTATTGTTCGTGTAATTACATTTAAAAGTACTTAAGGAATAACTTAAACACCATTTCATATAGGTAGTTAGTTTCTTTCTTTTTTTCCAAAGTAATTATCGTTATTTTTATGAAAAAAAAGGTTTCGGGCTGAAGCCCCCCCCCCAAAATTAAATCCTGGATCCGCTAGTGTGTTCAGCCATCGTCATTAAAGAGATGTTGTTTAGGTAACTATTATTTCTGTTCTGATGATGAATAATATATACAAGAGATTACAGAAACAGAGATAACACATCTAAAATTAATTTACAATCTAATTTTTGTTCATTTGGAAGTAAAATGAAAATACATAATTTAAATTATGTTAAATTCTCGGTCAAAATTTAGCTACTTAAATTCAAATTTTTAATTTGATATTCTCTGAAGTTTCTGAACATCATTTATTTAAGGATGGTAAGTACCATGAATCCAAAAGGTTTGTAGTTTTACCTCTTCCGGTTAAATAAAAACATTGCTAGCGTTCTCATTTCTAGGAAAACAGAGCGAATTCTCCATTATATTTGTCTTTTCATAGATTACTTTCATTATTTACGTTACGCTATCATGAAAGCGTGCCATGAGAGATGGTATTAACCGCCACATAAGAAACGACGGACAAAGAACAGAGAACAATTAAAAAAAAAAGGTAGTAGGGGCAAAGTAACGGAAACTGATAATGGGGAAAAAGTCTGAAAAAATTGCTGCAAAGTTTTTAGGATCCATGAAAGCCCGTTAGTTAGAAGTCACCACAAGTCGGAATTATGTAGTAAAAATTAATTTAGTGTGTAAATTTATAGTGTCAACACACTTATTTTGGCAGGTGTATGAATAAAGGCAAAAAAATTTGTTATGAATAATTAATGACCAGAAATTTATCCAAATACATTGCACCAAAAATGTACTGGCAAATGTTAGAATATTTTCCAGAAATAATATTTATACAACAACGTGGTCTTTGAGAATAAGATAGTAGAAGCCACGAATGTTCAGAATTCCAAAAATATGTCTAAAGTTACTATAAAGAGAAAATTTTGAGGGTAAAAAAATATTTACACAGTTTTAATTATTTACTATTAGCTCCAGCCAAAACAAATTTATCATTTTTCTTCCAAGATATTACAAACGAGGATTGTTGATAATACAATGGCAATAATAATCAGTCTTTGCTGTTTGTAATAAAAACATGGGTAAAACCAGTGAATATTGTGTCAGTTCAAAAAAACATACCACTAATCACGGGCGGATCTATGGGGGAGGGGGCTTTCGAGCTGAAGCCCCCGAAAACGGTAAAATATAAGTATGTTTAATGGGGAAAAAAAAATAAGAAAAGTATATCTTAAAATATTATTGTTCGTGTAATTACATTTAAAAGGACTTAAGGAATCACTTAAACACCATTTCATATAGTTAGTTAGTTTCTTTCTGTTTTTTCAAAGTAATTATCGTTATTTTTATGAAAAAAAAGCTTTCGGGCTGAAGCCCCTCAAAATTAAATTCTGGATCCGCTAGTGTCACCAATTACATTCTAATGGACATAGCTACCAACAAATAGCGAATATATTAGAAATTGGTCTTAGTAATGTGCGGAATATTGTACAAAAGTTTTAAACAAACATCGTTCAGAACGGCTACCAAGATTTAATGAGAGGGCACAAGTAATATCTAGCGCATTGTTGAACAAAATCGCACTTTATCAACCGCCGAGCTAGCAGAAGAAATCGCATCTACTTCTAATATCACCTTTTGTTTACAGACCATAAGAAATATAATTCATGAATATTATTATTATGACAGGTTCCAAAATAAAAAATCTTTTATTTCAGAGACGTGTGTATTGATAAATACCTAGAATTGTGCAAAAATGTTATTTTTCCAGATGAAAGTAAGCAGTCTCCGGAAATAAATGCCATAGAACACATCTATAGTACCTGTTGGAGTTGGACGTAAGAAAAAAAATTCCTTAAAAAATTTATCAAAAAGAAACTTTGTCAGAGGAATGATGCAAAATTGGACAAGACGTAACTCAAAATATTCTTTTGTCGTCACCAAGAAGATTCCAGGATGTCATATATGCCAATGGCATGATGACAAAATATAAACACAAATCCAGTTCGTGAAATAAATTTGGAATTAATTGTGCCAATATATTTTTGACCACGTTGAAGTGATTTCTTCGTTCATTTAATTGTTTAATGAAATAAATTTAAATCTCTTTTCTCCAATTATGTATTTTTCCAAATCGTCTATTAAACAAAAACGATAAATAAATCAATTTTGGATTTTTTCATAATAAAATCTAAAAAAAAGTTAAGTGTGCCAATACTTTGTTGATCCACTGTAGTTTGTATACAATGGAAACTGAATGTTTGTACTATTAAATACAATAATTTGTTAAAATAAATGAATAGAATAATGATAATATTAATAGAATAAAATGAAGTGGGTGTTCACAGACTTATTTGGTCCAGCTTATGTACCTACAACTGATTCTGTGATACAACTGGCTTATAAAAGGATAACAATAATTGAAAATTAAAGGAAATGTCGAAATAATGGCTGTTCTAGTCATTCAATAAGATATTATCCTTCATCATGGAATATTGCAATATTGTTTTTATTTAAAGTCCTAACACCCTTGCTTGTTATATATATTTTGTATTTAATTGAAAAAAATATAGAATGCAGTTAAAAAGTTAGCTTCTTAATAACCAGCCATAACATTTTGGAGAGCATCACACCTAGGCTTTATACTTGTTGATTCATTTTAAACATTTATCCATGTACTAATTAGGCTATCCTTAATGTGAAAACACTTAATTTTACTATTTAGATATGTTGCATATTTCACCTCATAAAGATATCTGTCGGCAAAATTAAAGTTTACTACTTTACAATTATTTCTAATATGTCAGGAAAATAAGAAATATTGGCTATTTCATTTTTTATATAAAAAAAACTATGAGCTCCTATGGTGAACTTTCATATATACTCATCTAGGTTTAATATTATAAAAATTCCATTTAATATTAATAATACAATTTTTATTGTTGACACGTATTGCTTATTCAGTGCATCAACTTTTAAATAAAACCCAATTTGAAAGTTGTTACTATAAGTATTAGTTATACTTTATTGTGTATAAATTTCGATTACGAGGTGTAAAATATTATAAACATTAAGTAGTAAAATGGAGGTCAAAGAGATGCCCTCTGTGTAGGGGGTCATTTCCATAATTGTCAGAATAGGTGTGGAGGACACAATACAGTATTGAATCTTTCGACGTGACACAGGGGCACATCATACCTCCACAAAAGAATGTTAAAAGTTTAATATATTTATATTAACAGATTGCTTGAATTTAAATTTGTGAGATCTTCAACAAATATTTTACTAATTGTACATGATTTATTAGATGCGTCTTAAGTGTTGCACGTTATTTGGGACACTTGTTGTCTATGATATCGATACTTCATCGATTCGTCAACGATATCTGCTCTGTATTTAATATTTTCAAGTTATTGAATGATCTCTTTGGTTATGATGGGAAAGGTAGCACGACCTATGTGCCAGAAGATAAACTAAAGTGATTTCCATTTTCATTATACTTATTAAGTTTTATTCAGTTATATAGCTACATTTTGCCTTGGTATGGATAAATAAATATGTACCAAACTTTTTATTTGAATATAGACCCTTATTTAAACCGAGTTTCATAAAAAAATAAATAAGCCAAAAATAAATTAGATATAAAGAGGAGGCTGTTTAGATATTATTATTAGGGGGTTGTATAAAGAGTTGATTAGTTAATATTTAATAATAGAAACATAATTTAATTATTCAAATTAATACATAAAAATTACATTTATATACATACATCAAAAAGTAAATGTATAAATAGAGATTTTAAATTAGCTTACTTCAAATGAAATGTTAAGTGATTTTTCTCAAAACTCATTCTGCTCAATTTCTATCCAATTAACATTATCTTAGAACTTTATCATTACAAATAACCAACACATACAGTGATACATCTACTGAAAGAATTAGACTTGACAATTCTAAAAACTGTGTGGACACCTGTGATTAAGGTGCAATACAAAACTACAAGACAGTGCAGATGTTTAGACATAACAGGATTACATTTAATACCAATTTACTAAACTTTACTTATTTACACTTATCTAATAATGTTAACCAAATGTATGTGCATATAACAGCATTATTTTCATGAAACTTCATCTTTAAAAATTAAAGACAAATAAAATTAATGATCAAATTGAAAAATTTTGCAACTGTAACTATTTTTTGTGATTCTAAAACTTTTACCATGTTTATTTGATAAAAGAGATTTAAAAAATATTTTTTCATTATATTAAAAATCTTAAATAATCTTGATAATTCTTTATTCGGGCTACACCATTGAATAACAAAAAAAAAAAATAAAAAAAAAAGATAAATATAAATACAAATAATTATGAGTACAGTATATAAGGTCGATTTATTGATATTTAGTGTTATTAATATATATTTAGTATGTATATCAATAAATATGAAAAAAAAAATGGAAAAGCCTTTGCTTCGATCAGGTTTCTTTATCTATCTTATCTTAGTTTTCTTCTTATTTCCACCTTCTTGTCACTCTATTTTCCACATCTCCATCTCTACTTTGTATATATTGATACATTTGCTCATTTTTTATACATATTATTATTTTTACCTTTTTTTAACTTCTTATTCTCTTATATTTATATTTTGATAGATTTTAGAATATCTCAATTTTTTATTTATATCTATTATTTCCTTATATAATTTCATATTCCTTTTCTCTTTTTTACATTTTATTCTATGATTACCATATTTATTTCTTATATTACCTTATTTTGATTATGTTTACTTCATTAGTCCGCACTGTTTAGCCGCTATTATTATTTATTTCTTAGTTCTCTGTTATTGTTATTATTCTACTTACTTTATTTTACTTTAATGTTCACGTACAGTGATGGAAAAAAGTATTTGCACAACACGTTTTTATGAATAAAGTAGTTCAAGGAAACAAAACACTTCCTTCGCTTTCCTTTGCGAAAATGAAAAGTAAATTTATTAAAAACTGAAAAAACCTTTTTACAAAAAAATAAAAACACTTCATTATCAAACAAAATAATAAAAACAATAAAAGTGCTTGGAAAAAAGTATTTGCACACTTCCACATTTACAAGTTTATTTTAAATTTTAATATTTTGTAAATAGGCAATTTGCATCAATAATTGCTTGTAGACGTCTGGACATTGAATGCACTAGGTTTTTAATTAAATCTACGTTTATTTGTTCCCATTCTTGAACAAGAAGTTGTTTAAGGTGATGTAAACTAGTGATATGGTGTTTTATTACATTTTGGTCAAGGGTGTGCCATAAATTTTCAATGATATTTATATCTGGTGACTGAGGAGGAGTGTGGAGCTGTCTTGGAACATTAAATATTAACCACTCCTTTGTTCTCCTCGCAATATGTTTTGGATCGTTGTCCTGCTGGAAATAGTACTGATCCTGGATTCCCATTTTTTCAGCACTAATACGCAAATTACGTCGCAAAATGTTCACATAGCATTCCGCATTTAAAATGCCTTCGATGCTCACAAGATTTCCCACGCCATGTTAGAAAACACACCCCAAACCATAACATTTCCTCCACTATGCTTTTCAGTTGTAAATGTTCTGCTAGTAATCTGAACTCTAGACCTTGATTGGACCATGGTAGCCAGCTCCCGAGAACTTATCAGAGGATTTTTAAGAGCTTCTTTTATGATTTTCCTCTTCAGCCTTGGAGTTAACTTTTTTGGACGCCCTTTACGCTCACCGTTTTCAGTTGAACCACGTTCTTCATACCTTTTTATGACGTATCTCACTGTAGAAAAATTCAACCCTAAGAAATCAGCAATTTGGCAATATTTTTTTTGCTGACTCCTCAGTAAAACAATTTTTTCGCGAGTTGCGGCACACAATTCACTTGTCTTTGGCATGATAATTGTCTATTGACTAAAGGAAACTGATTGAAAGACTAGAGAAAACTGGTAATAAACGATTAGAGATAAATTAGTAAACAAACCTATGACCTATGGACACTGGAAGATTAATGCCAAAGTAAACAGAGCTTGTGAGTCATAGTGTGCAAATACTTTTTTCCAAGCACTTTTATTGTTTTAATTTTTTTGTTCCATTATGGAGTGTTGTCATTTTTTTCCAAAAGGTTTTTCTCAGTTTTTAACAAATGTACTTTTCACTTTTGCAGAGGAAAGCGAAGTTTTTTGGTTCCTTGAACTCATTTATTCATAAAAACATGTGCAAATACTTATTTCCATAACTGTATCTACTTCAATTTACTGTAAGTTTTTTTTACCTACATTGTTTTTCTATACCTACATACCTATTATTATCTGGTTCTTTTTTCAGCCCTGATGAAGGCCTGAACTTTGAGCCGAAACGTCGGCAAGTGTAAAAATAAATATTATTATTTATTTTTGCCATTTTGTATTTTGACTGATCACCTAATTTTTTTTTTTTTAATATTTCTTTATTGAGTATTATAACAATCTGTCTCTTGGACATTGGTTATAGTGAGGTAGGATGACATTCACACTATATGTACAAAAAAAATAAAATAAATAATACAAAATGTGTGTTACTGGCCTAAGACTTAATTTCAAAATCTAGAGTAGAGTTTTGGGATTTTCAATGATAGATTAGAAGTTTTTAGAAGGAAAATATAAAGAAGCAATCTTTTCTGCTATGGTAATTCATTTTTAATTTTTAGGTATTTATTTTATTAGAAAAAAAAACTATTCATATTTTCAATGATTTAATTAATTTATTATACCATGTTAATTCCAAAGATACACTATAAATCTAGTTATATATAACTATTATAATGTTTTATAACTATTATAAGTAATGCTTTCTATGATAAAGATTGATTTGTAATAATTCAATCATATATGTATTTTTATGTTCATAAGCATGGTAGGCAACTCAAAGCAATCTATCGGAAAGCCTCTATACAGTGCATTTTTGAATAGTTGGCAAGAGATTATGTATGAGGCCAAGAACCAGGTGGACAGATAAAATCATCAAAGATGCTGAATAACTGTATGCATCAAACTGGAAAGATAACATGGAGCTAAGAGACAAAGGTAAGACTAGTCCCTAGGTATTTGGTCCAAATTATTGCTTATTCTATTATGAACCAAGCTGTTTCATAGTTAAATGGACCAAGGCTACTCCCCAAGTGCCTCATTCAGTGGGGGTAGTCTCGGATTGGAAACAAAAATTAAAGCACGAGCGTTACCTTAATTTTTAATCATTTAAATTACAAACTAGCTGGGATTGGAAACTTATCTTTACTTTCTTAACTTATTATAATTTATTATACCTTTATGACTTATATATATTTAATCTATTTCAGGATGGATGGAGAAGGGGGGAGGTCAGATTAAAATATGTTACCCACAGCGGGACGAAAGGCTGGTTTTCATGAACACGGGCCTAGAAGTTATAAATGATGTTGGATTAATTTGATATTTAGTACCCTTGTGTTTTGAAGGCCAAAGAACATGAATATGATGTCAAAATTAGAAAATTTTCATGGAATACATAGAAAAATCAGGTTTCTTTGTTTAAATCTAGGAATTTTTAAATTTGACAACAAATTGACTTGGAAAATGTTAAAGACCAATTGAAACTTATAATTTTAGATACCTATTTATAACTAATGTTTATATTACTACATATAATCATTATTTTAATCATTTGTTTTTTATTTTAAAAAACAAAACAAAACAAAATGTAGTTATAATATATTTATATGTAATGACTAAAAAAAATGTAGTGTAAAAATGTATCATTTATCAATTATAAATTTTTATTTTACAATAGTTCTTATGAAATAATAAATATTTTATTTTATTTTTATTACAATAAATTTTTAAACACCATCAATACTTCCTCACATTCTCCGATAAAACAATATGTATTTTTTCATTAATTTTAAAGATTATATTAAGAATTAATGATACAGATCAAGTCATAAAAATTCAACCAAACACTCTCAGATTGAATTTACTGTAATGAAATTATAATAACATTTAAAAAGAATAAGGGTATAATAAGATGTGTCTCAAATGTACGCTATGGGTCATGCCAACTAAGCATATCCCTTCTCTTTTATAAGGCGTTAATCCTATCAAGATTGGATTATGGCTCTCAATTATATGGTGAAGCAGCAAAATCTTATTTAGATAAAATAGATAAGATACAATGTAAATCACTTAGGGTTTGTGTAGGAGCAATGCGTTCTACCCCAATAAATACCCTTCAGATGGAACTATAGAAGCCCTGTTGAAATTTCGTAGGAAACTAATTTTAGGAAGATTTTTTTCATCCAGAATTACTATAGCAGATCACCCAAAAGTCAGGCACATCAAGCAACTAGCTGAGCTGGTAAATTCTCATCGATTTTTAACAAAGAAACCATTTCTATGAGTCAGCAATTATAAAAGACTTGCTCTTTTAAACTTTCCTATTCATTTATCTCCTTCCTATCCTAGATTCCTCACTAATGTTTTTTCTCCCCTCAGTCAGACTAATTTTGCTATTCCAGATACCAATAAAGTATTAAATTGGTCAGTTTTCCTTTCCTATATGGAAGAAGCGACCTTCAGTGGGTACTGTGAACAAGCGTTGGCATTATACTTCTCTAACAAGCTTGTAAACCTCAAACTGAACCAACTTCAAATCCTTCCTTGGAGCCATCAGTCCTATTGCTAGGAGCCTCTCATGCTTTTATATCTGAAATATTTAATTTGCTATGCCAGTTAAATAATAGGAGCATAAATGCGCATATTATTTGGATAAGAGGGTAATGTAGTAGTGGTAATGAATTTAACAAGGTTGACAAGGTTGCTAGAGATTTCCTAAGTTCCGACCCTGTAAAGCTTCCAGAAAATTCCTAACTTCCATATCACGCCTTCACCTCAACCACAATAGACTACCATCCTATCTCTTTAAAAGAAACAACTTGGATTCTCCTTATTGCTCC